GTTTTGTTCATAAAGTCCTTTCCCATGCCAATGTCTTCAAGAGTTCTACCTAACTTGTCTTCCAGCAAGTTTAGTGTTTCTGTCTTAATATTTAGATCTTTAATCTACTTCGATCTTAGTTTAGTGCATGGTGAAAGATATGGGTCTAGTTTCAATCTGTGGCAGGTTGAAATCCAGTTTTTCCAGCACCATTTATTAAAGAGGCTGTCTTCCTCCAGTGAGGGTGGTTGGCTCGTTTGTCACAGATGAGGTGGCTGAGTGTGTCTGCAGTTGTTTCCAGCAGCCTCTTTCTCAGGGGCCCCCTGCTTTCCTGGCGGAGTTTGCCCTCTGCTCCCCCGAGCCGCAGCCCCTCTCACCAGCACTCCGTGTTGTCTGCCATCCTAGGCACATGGCAGCCTCACCGTGGTAGTTTCCCGAGTGTGGGGTGACATGACCCCTCTCCTCTGCCACCCAGGGGTCTGGATTTTAGATCTTCAGCCCATTTTTACTCGTTTTTCTTATAACTGACTTTTGAAAGTTCAAGTTGTATGATTTGGAAATAGTTTGTCAATGGCTTGTACTTCATTTTCTTAATGGCAACTTTTGAAAAGCAAGTATTTTCAATTTTGGTAATGTCTAAGTTACCACTTTTCTTAGTAGACACTGATTTTGGTGTACTACTGATGGGAACTTTGCCAACATCAGGTCACAAAGAATTTCTGGGTTTTTCTAGAAGTGTTAAAGTTTAGCTTTCTTAGGTCCCTAATTGGCTTTGTTTTGTGTGGTTTGGAGGCATTTTTGTGTTGGTGCGAAGAAGTCAATAGATTTTTTTTAACCAAATGATTGCGGCTGAGTGTAGTGTCCCTAATTGTTCCAGGACCAATAGGTGAAAATACCATCTGTCCCATTCTACTACCTTCGAAGCCTTGTTAAATCAGCTGGCCAGAAATGAGAGGCTTAGTTCTGGACCTTTATTCTGCTCCATTTGTCTGTATGTCAGCCGCACGCTGTCTTGAAGCGTGGTTATACAAGTCCTCCAATTGTGTTCTATACAGAATTATTCTGGCCACTATAGTGATCTAGGTCTTCTGAATTTCCACACACATTCTAGGATCAGCCTATGATTTCACCAAAAACAAAAAACAAAACAAAGCAAACAAAACCCCTACAGATGTCTGTCACTTTCCCCTCGCTGGGACACAATACCTGACACCCGCAACTTAAAGGAGGAGAGGTGTGTTTGGCTCGGTTTCAGTGGGTACAGCCCATGGTTGGCAGCTCCAAGGCAGAACCAGCATGGTGGAAGGGTCTGGTGGAGGACAGCGGCTCCCTGCATGGCAGCCAGCAAGTAGAAAGAGAAGGAAGGAGCTGGGGCCAAGAGTCCACTCCCCCGGTCACATCCCAGTGACCATTTCCACCCAGGCCCACTCTCCTAACAGCACAGTTACCTCTGAACTCATCAATGGATGACTCCACTGCTGTGTAGTGTCCCCAAGGTCTAGTCACTTCCAAACCCCCCTCTGAACATGAGGCTTTTGTGTGTCCCACACAGATCTAAACTGTCGGGAGCGAGCTCAGGGTCAGGCCACCATCAGGAGGCATTTTGCTCACCTCCTGCTCTTCATGATTTCCCTCCCTTTGTGCCTCAATTTACCCTACCAAAATAAATAGTTCAGGGTACAAAGAAATGTTCCTTATACTTTTTATTATAGTCCTAGTTGACGTGGTCCTAAAACCAAGCTCATGTCTCTGTTCCCACCAGTCTTATCAGTCAGTTATTCTCAAAATGTATTAAAATAACAACTTACCGAAAGCAACCTGCCCCATCTCTTTGTTTATACTCTTCCTCCTCGTGCCTTAAATAAATCGATACTCACATGTGAGCAGGTGGGCAGTCCCGCCTGGCCCCGCTTTAATTCATTCGTTTTCTTCACCTTCCCTCGCCCTACTCAGGCCCCAGACCCTTGCAACACAGGCTGACCCTAAAGCACAACACCAGGCTGCTGGGTGCAGTGAGGTCGGGGTGCACATCAGCCCGGGACACTGTTTTCACGAGAGTCTTCCAATCTACCGTCATCGTCTCTCTTCTCACTTAACAGATTGTCTTCCACTTCTCTCGGCCACAGTTGGTTGTGTTTAGGGTGCAGATTTGCACACGTTTTGTTAAGCTTGTTCTTTTTGATAATATTTTGGTGGGGTTTTTTGTTTTTGTTTTGTGGTACTGGGAATCAATCTCAGGACCTTGTGCTTGCCAGGTAGGCACGGTGCCACTGAGCTAAATCCCTGGCCCTCCAGTCCAGCAATATTTTGAATGAAATAGTTTTTAAAAAGTAACAGGTTTCCGGTTGCTAGGACATGGAAATGAGTGACATCTTGTCTTGGTGTTATGCCCTACATCTCCATTAAAGTACTTCATTATTCCAACTTGTTTATGTGTTTTTTAGGGTTATGAACAAAGTCTCCCCTGGTATTCTGTAGGCCTCTTTTTTGAGACTTAAGTACATCCAAGTGGGACAGTGGACAGCCTTGCCTTGCACTCAGTCTTAGGAGAGAGCATCCAGTCTTCTGTATGAAGTGAAACTACTGGCACTATGTGGTTTTTGCCACTGTTTTCTTTTTTGTTTGTTTGTTTGTTTGTTTGTTTGGTACTGGGCATCGAACTCAGGTCTTTGCACTTGCAAGGCAGGCAGCTGAACCACTGAGCTAAATCCTCAGCCCCAAAACGCAACTACTGTTTTCTTTTTATTCCTAGGTTGTTGTGATCTTTAGAAAGCATAAGGCATTTGATGTTGTTCAATCCATTTTCTGCATTAATTGCCAGACACATAGGTTTTTGTCCTTTATTCTATTAATATTTTGCTTTATTTAACTGATTTTCAAATGCTAATCCAGTGTTGCTTTCCTGGAATAAAATCACTAATCCTAGTGTACAATCCTGTATATTCGTTGCTGGACTTGGTTTGCTAATATTCTATGAGTGGTTTTTGCCATTTGCCACATCCTCCTCCACCTTCTGAAAGACTTTTGTGCAATTGGTATTTCTGTTTTAACATGTTCAGTAGAAGTTGGTCGTGGTGACACACACCTGTAATCCCAGCACTTGGGAGGCTGAGGCAGGAGGATCATGAGTTTGAGGCCAGCCTGGACTGCAGAATGAGACCTTATCTCAAAAGAAAAAAAAAGGTATCTATGAGTGCTAGGGACATTTTTATGGGAAGATCTCTCTCTCTCTCTCCTTGTCTCTCTCTCTCTCTCTCTCTCTTCTTTCGCTATTAGTATCAGTTGGGACTATATGGAGCCTTAAATGTCACGTATGTAGGACAGGAGCAAAAGATAAGCAAAAGGACACAAGAGGGAAACAGGAGAATCTGTAACTGCAAACTTCATCCGATAGGTGAATTTTGATGTCCAACCCCATTCCCACCTGGCAAGCTTCCACACAGTGAGAGGCTCAGCAGTGTGCAGCTGAATGTTCTGAGCTACTGCAGGATGCTGCTAGAGGCAGCTGCTGGGCGTAATTCTTTTGTGTTTTCAATTTTTCACTTCTTTAAAGACTCCCTCTTGCTTCTTAGACGTTTCTGTTCCCAGGGTGGCGGAGTTTCGGGGAAACAGGCCAGTCTGCCCGTGGCAAGGCCCTTCCCCCAACAGGGGTCTGAGTTATCTGCGATGTGAATGGAGTCTCCCTGACTGAAGTCCAGCTCACCGCCCTCCGGGGTCAAAGGCAGAGAGGGCCTGGACACACACCCGCTGCTGTGGCACCTGCTCTCTGTCCTGCGGGTTTCATGACACAGATGTTGTTCTGTGATCATGTGCCACTCAAAGAGGTGAGCTCCACCACCCAGAGGAAATTCCTTTGGGCTCAGAGCACCTGGAAGTGCTGCACACATTCCGCACCTGACAGAGAGGGAAGTCCCCAGGAGCACATGCACTGGCTCAGGTGAGAAAGGCCCCATCGTGCTGCTGTTTGCTAAGCATTTCTTCTGCTTGGCTCTGGGGATTTTCAGGGGTGTGGCTTCATCTCTGTAGTTCTTGGGGATGAACCCATCCTTCCTGCTGAGCTCTGCTTTGTATCCTTTCTGATCACATTCTTCATTCAAAACTTGATGCCCCCCTTTTGAAGTTCGGCTCATCATCTACAGTAGCTTTGAAGTCCTGCTTGGCGATGGCCCATCCTGAGCGCTGTTGTGCTCGGCAGCCGGAAGCAAGGGGAAGGAGTCTTCCCTGCTGAAGCTGAGGTGACCCAGCACAGTGGCCCAGCCTCACCTCCCTTCTGGGACTCCTCATGCACGCTGAGAAGCGCAATGCCACCCACAGTGCAGCTGCCCTCCACACGCCTGGCCTGCAGTACCACGAGCAGCTGCAGACCCCTTGTTGTTCTGAGGGCAGCATCTGCTCCAGTCACTGGCAATGCCTCAGCTTCAGTCAGAGCCAGCTGAGAAGATCCTGAGTTGGTCATTTGCTCCCACTGCTTTTTAGGTGTCAAGCTGGATTTTCTCTCTTCCAGAGTCAGCTGTGACCACATGGGCCATGTAACTGGAAAGGATGCTGCCTTTCTGTGGGAAAGACACAGCCAGGCCTAGGGGCTCATATGAAGCAGAAGTGTTTCGGAGACTCGAGCCCAAGGGTCCACTGCGGCTGCACCACAAGGCTGCTGTGTAAGGGGTCTGTGATGTTTGTGAGTGCAGAAGTGTGTTCAGCTGGTGGCCTGTGGGGCTCCAAACTCTGGCCCCATGGAGGAAGGGAAGCTTGCTTTTGTCCCGCCTCGGCCCTTGTGCCACCCATTGCACAGCCACATGCCCCAGGCGGGAAGGGCAGGCATGCTCACTCTCCACAGCTTGAGAAGAGGTTTGGGCTACTCGACTGACACAGATTCACAGGTGGGGGCCGCAGTCAGCTCACACCCCTCTGTCCTTGGCGGCATCTGTGCAGGGCTGGCAGGCTGTGGAGGGAGGGCCTTGGGGCTGGGCCCCCGGAGCTGCATGGCTGTGGCTCTGCTGTGGACTCACAGCCCCATGCGCAGCTCCAGGTAGCTGCGAGTCTGTGCCAGACTCAGCCTGTGGTGGTGTGTACTGCACTTGGCGGTCTCCCCAGGCCATCTGCAGGCCAGCCTCGGTGTCCCCAACGGATGCAGCGAGGGTGGCTGGGAGCTGGCTGGGCCCAGTGCATCTTCCCGGGTGGACCTGGTCCTTACTGAGCGCCTGGAGAGCACAGGAAGCCATCATGCCAGGCAGGTGGGTCAGGAGGCCACGAGGGACACAGGGTCCCACTGAAGTGAGCTGGGTGCTGGCCAGGAGCAGGCGCTGGGGAGCCAGCTGTGCTGCCCAGCAGGGTGGGGGACCCCACTTCTGAGGCCACACACAAGCACACAGCCAAGCACACAGCACGCCACACGGCACACACACTTACGTGTATCACACGCAGACACGCCACACCTCCCAGAGCTGCACAGACACCCCCCCACACACACACACACGGCCCCATGTCACGTGCCACACACACAACCCCGCCCGGGGCGAGATACGGGCACAGCGCACCTGTGGAGCCGCCTCCTCCACCTGCAGCACCCGCTGCGTCCTCCCTGGCGGCTCCGGGCCCTGTGGGAAGCGGGTGTGCTGGACGTAGTCAAATGTGCTCTTGTTCTTGGCCACTGGGAAGGGCAAGCAGAGGGCAGCTCAGCAGGAGCCGCGCGGTGCCCACCCGGACCCTCCCCAGGAGCGGCCCCCGTATCACGTCCCGTGAGCCAGGATGGGACCCAGGTGTGGGTGGCAGGTGGTGGGGTGCACCAGGTATGGTGGGCCCCGAGGCTGGCCGGTCTTTGCTGTGGGCTGAGACCTGGGCGGGTACCTCGGGTTACTGAAAGCACAAATGGGCCAGATGCTGGCCTCGGTGCACGCTTCTTCGGAGGGCCTGCCTCCGTTTCTCTTTCCCTAAGGCCCACGCATGGGAGGCAGATGGTTTGCAATTATTTCTGGAAAGCGCAGGGCGCCCACAGAGCCCTGTTTCCAGGTCGAGGTGCAGAGGGGGTGGCAGCCGGGCCTGGACTTGGTGAGTTGCAGGGACTCAGCCTCTCTGCCGGAGGCGTCTGGCTCTTTCCCAGCCTCCAGGCCTCGGGGCTGGGTGGGCTGAGCACCAAACCTGTCCCATGGCTGCTGTCCTTTGAGCATACCTTTGCGTGCCTGTCTGTGCAAAGCCATCCACACCAGTCATAATGTGCCTGTCTGCAGGCTGCACCTGCCCAGACGCTTCCCAGGAAATGTCCCCGCCAAGCTGCCAGGCTGAGGCAGAGAACCCCAGACCCCAGGCGAGAAGCCTGAGGCTGTGCACTGTGTCCTCCCGAGTGAGTGACCAGGGCCAGCAGCCAGCTCAACTGGCCTAGGGAGCCCTGTCCTTCCCCAGACTCCTTCAAAATGCTGCCTCCTCCACTCGCCCTGGCTGAGGCTCCTGCATCTCTGCTGCAGGCGCCAGGTCCGTGTGGCTTCCCAGGAGTGTGCTCACTCTCGCTGCCTCACACAGAGCCTCACAGTGTGGTCCCCAGAGCACAGGCCAGACTCGGGCCCTCCCCCTCTCTGCAGCTCAGCCCTCCTGCCTGCCATGCCCTGAATGGCTCTCCTCTGCGATGCCCTCTGCCCTGCACCCTGCCTTGGAGCCTATGCCTTGACTATGGACTGAAGCCTCTACAGACTGTGAGCCAACATAGACCTCTCCTCCTTAGGGTTGTAGTGTAGCAACAAGAAAGTAACTGAGACATCTGTTATCCCATCGACAAACACACCCTGAACACCTTCTGCACACAGGCAGCACTAAGCACTGGCCAGGTCTCAGCACAGACTCCCAATGCAGTCAGAGCTGCACTCACGAGGCTGAATCCAGTGGTCCGCATTGTGCTTTCATTTTTAAAACTCCACGTCACAGCACTCTGTGAGCCAGTGGTGACACTGCTGGTGAGGTCTCCCCAGGCCAGGTAGGGTCTGTGTGGGCACAGCATGGTCCAGTGAGCCTCAGGCGATGGGCGGGGATGAGGCAGCCTCCGGGAGGACTTTCAGCCCAATCCTCAGAGGCTTCACCACTGACGACACCACAGCAGGAGGGGAGTGGCTCTGCTGTGCGCAGCAAGGGGACCTCAACTTCACTCTACAACCTCTGCCTGGTGCTTCGCTGAACCCACCTGTTCTCCTTTCACAGCATCCTGTTCTTGCCTGATACTCCTGTTCTTTTGCCTCTGAACATTCTAAACTCATCTCAAAGGCTCATGTTTCTTGCGGGTCCTGGGACATAACAGCTGGACCCACTGTCCTTCTCTCCCTGTGACTTGACCCCTCTGCCATGAGCTCGTGTCTGGTGTGCAGCCTGAGGGCCAGGATGGAGTGTGGGCAGCTAGGTGTGTACGCACACAGGTAGATGTGGAAGATGAACAGGTGCCCAAGTAGCAGGAAGCTGACCATGCCCACAATCAGCACTCCGCCCATCACGCAGAGGGCCACGGGAGTCTGGACGGGCACATGCCACCTGGGCAGGAACAGCAGCCATATGGTCACAGCACTGATGTCTGTGGAGACAGAGACACGTGGGTCAGTATCCAGGAGGCAGCAGCACATGGGGTCCCCGCTGCAGTCCTGCCTGGTGGCCTAAAGAGGTGGTGAGTGACAAGGCCCCCAAATTCTGTCCCATCGCTGCCCTGTCCCCGGACCCAGACCGCACCCCCAGCCTGCCGCCTTTGGAGACTGTAGGCCACACCTGGCAAGGTGCTGCTAGGGTGGGGTCTCCAGCGTCCCAAAAGAATCGCTGCCAGGATCAGGTACAAAGAGTGAAGGGGGCTGTGTGGCAGACAGCAAGGACGGGGACCCTTGGAGGACGCCAGCTCTGCTGCCGTGCGCAGGTCATGCTCTGCGCAGACTTCCAGACAGTGAGCCGGGAGACACTGGGTCCCACAGTCAGGGAGCTGAATGGAGCTACCACGCTGCTGTGTAGGGCCAGCATGTGCCAGAGAGCTGCCTGCTCCTGCTGCTTCCGCCCAGGCCCTGTGCGGGGCTCAGCCCGGGCTGCAGCCTCCCTGGCCTCTCCTGGCACCCCCCCAGGAGTCCAAGGCCCAGGTGATGTGGCAGTTGCCTCAGAAGACACTTTGTGGCCAGGGAAGAGGGCTGCGGGGGCTCCAGGATCCTGAGATTGCAGCCGCCAGGCAGAGCCCACGTTTAGAAAGAAGTCCAAGGTGGGTGGGACGGTTCCAGCTGCAACCCCCAGAGCTGCTCTTCAGCGAACACGAACACCCACCATCTTGGCTGGGAATGCTCCAGCGTGGGACAGCAGGCTCCACCCTCTCTACTGGGGGTCTGCAGATGTCCTGATGTCTGGAGCTGACAGACTCAGAGCTGTTCCCAGGCCCGTGTCCTGCAGTCGCTGTGACAAATGACCATAAATCGGAGATGCTTCAGCCACAGACCTTCACCTCACATCAGAGGCCCCAGTCTGAATGACAGCAGGGACAGACAGACGTCCTCCCTCAGGCCCCAAGGGCCACCTTCCTGCCTCTCCCATCTCTGGGCTGCAGCCGCCCCTGGGCTCATGACAGCTGCAGGGTTCCAGCCTTGGCCTCCGCCCCACGCAGGCTCTGTGTGTCTGGGTCTCCTCTTCTGCTGCTCAGAAGGACAGTGTCCCTGGAAGTGGACAAGCTGGGCGAGATCCTCATCTCAAGATGCTTCATCATGTCTGCAGCTCAGTGCTGGACGTGGACGCACCTTGGGGGCCATGCCCAGCCAGCCATGCCTTTCCACCACTCAGTGTGGACTTCGCTGCCCACGGCCCAGGCTCCTGGACCTGTGGTCAGAGGTGGATCTTGGCTGCTTTCTGCTCCTACCCTCCTGATGGTGGCTCTTGGAAGACAGCCCCTGGCCCACTGTGCCTCCATGGCCCCACAGGGACCCAACATGTCTCAGGACAGGCTGTGGAGAGGTCAGAGGGCACAGTGCACCTGCTCTCAGGCCTGGCCTCCTGGGGCCCTGGGAAGCCCTTGGCTAATACTGGTCACAGATTCAAGTGTCCCCAGAGGTCTCATGTTTGGAGGCAGGGCCTGGGTGGAGATGGTCCCTGGGGCGTGGCCTGCACGGGTGTGTTCTTGTTTGCAGCTCCTCTCTCCTTTGCTTCCTGCCCACCATGAGGTGAGCAGCTATCCTCCACCAGGCCCCTGCACCGTGATGTGCTGCCAGCCATGGACCAAACCCCCCAAAACTGTGAGCCACTTGGAGCCTCCCCTTTACACTGCAGGTGTCAGGTGTCTGTCCAGCACTGGGTTGGGTGACTGATATGCATGGACGTGGAGCTACCTGCAAGCTGGGCTTGCCGCTGCAGATGGACTCCTTCCTGGACAGGTGGCCGGAGCTGAGGCAGGGCTCACACAGAGCAGCCCAAGTGGGAGACACTCCATGCTCCTCATACCTTTGTAGCTGGAGTCCGTGCGGAGCTTGTTGGGGTTGATGAAGTGCTGGATACAGATGTACAGCAAGACGACATTCATGCAGAGCAGGCCTACCAAGGCTGAGGCCACGGAGCAGAAGAAGAACCTGCAGAGGCAGAGCAGGCGAGGGACGCAGGCGAGGGTAAGCCAAGCCTGTGTGGGGATCTCACGGGGAGATGGACCCTGACCACTGCCCTGACAGCCCTTGGGCCGCCTCTGCTTCCTCTCAGCCACCTTCCAAGTTCTCCAGGCTGACACCACTGGGCAGCAACCTCACGGCCACGCCTTTGCTCCCCAGCCCTCTGGCTGAGCCCTGCTGTCTGGACAGGACTCCTCGGCTAGAAAGGTGGGCCACAAGACGCAGTGCCCAGAGCCCCTCCCGGCAGGGCTCCTCCTGGAACCCTGGGAATGCGCGAACCTGTCCAGGCCTCAAGTCCTCTCGTCCTCCTGCCTGGTTTGCACACCCCGTGCTGGCCCCGGGGAGGCTGCGCTATGCCCAGGGTCTGGGCAGCTAGGAGCGTGCTGGCCTTCCTGGGCCCTGCAGACCACGTCAGTTTTGGGCCAAATCACACTCAACTCACTGTGCTTCCTGCTTCCCCGTAGAGCCTCAGGGCCCACACAAGCGGCGGCCTTGCCTGTGTGGTCGTGGTGGGTCTGAGGGTGCAGGCTCGCCTGGCATGTGCCTGGGGCAGCCCTTTCTGCGCCATCACCTGGAGGCCTGAGGACCCATGCTGGTCCCTGCAAGCAGGCCGCCTTCCTCGGGGGTCTGAGCTGAGGCTCTGTCCATGGTCGAGGCCCACATCTGCCAGTGACCTGGCTGCCGGCTGCACCCTCACATGCAGGGCAGGGGAAGCAAAAGGCCACTGAACCTGTGGTTTAGGTGACGCTCACAGCCGCCAGAGGCCTCTGTCCCCCATATTGGGCCTGGATGGAGGAGGGACACTATGTTCTTCCTGGCTGTCTTCGTGAGGACTAAGCTGATGGACCCAAAGCCCAGACATGGCCCGGGAGCCCCATGGACCCACTTCCACCTGCAGCCTGGACACTCTTGGGCGCTCCCAGTCTGCCTGCTGCACTGGGAGGGCTGCCTGGGTGTGCAGAGGGCAGATGGCCGAGGACAGTGGGTCCAGGAGGCCCAGCTGGTTCCTCCAGGCCAGGCCAGTGTCTCAGGGTCTGGCGTTGAAGGCACATCCAGGGACAGCTCCACAAGACAGTGCAGGACGAATGGATGTGGGCACTGAGCCTGCTGCATGGGGCCGGGAGTGTGGCTCCACAAGGGCCCTTTCCCCCTGCGCCCCACGGACCACAGCCCCTCATCCCTAGTGCCCAGTCCCTGCTGGAGACCTCCAGGATGTGCCTGCACCCCATGAAGGCCCCCGAGGCCCTCACCAGCCCTCACCAGTAGTTTCTGCTCCCCACACAGTTATTCAGCCACTTGCAGTGGTGGTCGAAGCCAGCAACACACTTGTTGCAGGAGCTGCAGTGCTTGGCTTTTTCATTCCTGGAGGAATCAAGAGAACTTGTTGGCCCAAATGTTCAGGTGGGGTACAGGGCTGGGACTCCAGTGCTCTGGGGTCCCGAGACCTAAGACGTGACCCAGCAGGGGCTACAGTGGCCTTGCCTTCTCCTTTCTGGCTTTTCCTGCTCTGGAAAGCCAGAGGAAGATTGCCTTGTGCCCTGGACCATGGGAATGGATGAAGGCGCAGAGACTGAGGGCCCCCAGCCCAAGTTGGAGCGCTGGCCTGGTGGGCAGGCTCAGCCATCGCCTCAAGGGCTGCGGGGCTGCCGGGCTCTGGGGGACTCACACGGCGAGCTCACACAGGTGGCAGGACAGGTTCTGGATCACATGAGCATGCTGGGAGCGGTCGAAGGTGGGCACCGGCTTGGAGTAGCTCCTGAGTCGGACGTTGGCTTCGCCTGGGTCGATGGTGACCGCGGTGAGGTGGACGACCAAGTGGAACAGGAACACGACACCGATCACCTGGGCCGTCAAGGAAGACACGGCTGGGCCAGGTGAGGGGCTGCAGTGCCCCTGGGCCTCTGCTGTCTATGTCCCCGAGGGGATTGGCCCTCCCCACCCTGCAACCACATGCTCACCCCGAGACTCGGGATGGAGCCCGGCAGAGGAGGAGGCCCTGCAGTGGACCTTGTCCCAGGCCTGGCCCCACGGGGCATGGGCTCCTGTGGCAGAGCAGGGACTCAAGCCTCAGCTGGATGCATGGGCCCAACACCAAGCATGGCCCCCCCCTCAGGAACTGGGCACTTGTAGGGTCCCTCAGACTCCTAGGGCCCCTGGGCTCCCTGCAGCCAGGCCTGAGTGGCCCTGGCCGGGAGGAGGACGTGCTCCCTCAGGGTACAGGCGCGCAGACCCCGCGCTGCCTCCTTGCCTGAGAAACCGAACAACAGTGTGCAGGGCCCCTTCCCCAGACGGGGCCTCCAGGGCTGTGCTGCCAGGGCCTGCAGGTCCCTGCGCGGCAGCGAGGGTGTGCCCAGCGGTGGGTGCGCCCTGCCCCGGCAGGAGAAGGCCGGGCTGCAGCCAGCCCCTGCAGGAGCCCCAGGCTCCCTCCTGTGGCCAAGGCTCACCGGCGGGCAGCACCCGGCCCCATCCAGAGGGCGGGGGCGGGAGGGCGCTCCGCCGCGCCCGAGGAGGGTCCACTAGGGGTCTGCAGGGAAGAGATTGCCCAAGCCTGGGTGGTAGGAGGGTGGGGCCGGGCATCCATGGAAGGGCCCTGGCGCCTGTCACACATGCTCCTGACAGGGCACAAGGGCCGACTCTCCTGTCCTGTGAGGGCCCCTGGATCTCGGTTCCCTTCCCGTCACCTTCCAGCTCCTCCTGACACAGGATGCCTGGTGTAGGTGAGGCCTCACCGGCTGCAGGTTGACTGTCTGCGTGGGCTCAGGCGGGCGACTCTGCAGGACCCACAGTGCGGGGCGGCTCCGCACCACTCCCTGCAGGCTGAGCCCGGGCCAAGCTGCTTGTTTGTGTGGTTACCAGGCCAACAGGTGGGAGTGGGAGCCTGAGACACTGGAGGGCAAGGGCTGGGGACATGGATGGGCAGGACTGGGGCAGCTCCCGCCCTGGGGCTGGGGCAGAGCTCAGCCGACCTGGGGCAGGAAAGGTGGGCAGGGAGGCGGCTTGTGTGGCCACCGGCCCCAGAAGGGGCCGAGGAAGATGCCCTGTGACAACCACACATCCTGCTGGGGGCCAACCTGCTGCGGGTGGGCCTGGACTTGCCTGGCAAACCTGCAGGGTCTATCTGGGAAGAGAGGGTTCAGCTTCCTCAGGGACCCCGAGATTCCAGGCAGAGTCCCCACCTAGACGCCCCCTCTGGACATGAAGCTGAGTCACCTGAGGACCAGGGTTCCACCTCAGGGTGCAGCCTCAGGGCCAGCTCCTGCCTCTGTCAGCCCTGACTCAGGCGGGCACCTCAGGTCAGGAGGACACAGGTGAGGCACAGGGTGGCTGGCAGCCCCAGGCCTCCTCTGGAAGTTTTGGTCTGGGAGCTGAGAAGCTGACGCTCAATGTCCTTGGCAACAATCTGTGTTTAGTAAACAAACCGTGGGAGGGAGCCAGCCAGTGAGACACTTGCCCTCTGCCCTGCAGACACTGCAACCTTGCCGGCTGTCCTGCAGGCAGGAGTAGAGCAGGAGAGGGAGCTGTGAGTCAGCCCCTGGTCCTGCCTCATCTGCTCCACGGCCAGCTCTGCAGTGGAACTGGCTGCTCAGAGAGGGCTCTGCTGAAGACCCCTCGCCTGAAGCTACAACCCGGCCGAGGACGTGACCCCCAGCCTCGGGCTGTCAGAGAGATGTCCCTGGGTTTCACAGAGCTGTGTGGAGTCCACCCCTGCGGTTCCCTCCACAGGGGTGCGGGTGGCAGCCAGCTGGCCTCACCAGGGTCTCCAGCTGTGCCCGGGCCTCCATGGAGCAAACCCCACCACCTGCCCAGCCCAGTCGCTCCGGCCCCTGGGGCCCTGCTGGCCAGGGATGGCACCGTCGCCCTCCAGTGGCCACAGCGTGCCCTGAATGGGAAGTGGGGAGGACCAGGCAGGAAGCTGGCCCTGAGGGAGGCGGTGGGAGGCACAGCATGAAAAGTGGGGCCAGGGCTCTGGGATGATGGAGACCCTGCAGAGAGCAGACAGAACACAGGGCTGTGCAGGGTGTGGAGAAGGTGAAGGACCGACACAGGCTCGGGTGGTCGGAGGAAAGACCCGGTCACGCAGCACAGGCATGAAAGGCACCGTGGCAGGCCGGCTGGTCCCACACCCGGGAGCTGGGACTGACTTGGAGATGGGGTCTCTTCCTGCAGACCGCGGAGGGCAGGGGAGGCCATGAGGGGCCCTGACCCAAAGGGCCAGCATGCCCCGGGAAGGGTCTGGACACAGGGCTCCCTGGGGCTGGTGGAGGGAGGACATAGCTGGGGACAGACGGCATCTTGACACCCCCACACCCACCCAGGCCTCACACTGAGCGAAGACACTTGTGAGCCAGATGTGAGGGTGTACATCTGTCATCCCAGCATCTGGGTGGCCAAGGCAGAAGGATCGAAAGTTCAAGCCCAGCCTAGGAAACTTAGTCACTTAGCAAGCCTCTCTCTCTCAGTGGGAGATGCCCCCCACCCCCAGCAGGCCTGGCCCAGATGCCCATGCTGCCATGGGAGATGCCAGTCCTGCCTGGGCCATGCTTTGGCTAGAACTGTGAGGCCTCAACCAGGCAGGTCCAGTTGTGGAGCCGGATGCTCAGCACCATAGCCACACACAGCCCAAACCCTGGCTGATTCTGGCCTCTACGAACTGGGGCCAGGGGCCTGGGGACAGAGGAGGAAGCTGAGATGAGCCACGAAGGCAGGGTTCTGTGTCTGGACCAAGTGTGGGCCCAGAGGGGGAACCTGGCTGGAGACCCTGGGTTTCCTGATTCCCCCCGCCCACCACCTGTAGTGGACAGGAGGCCATGCTGAAGGGCACTGGGGACCAGGGCACTGGTACTGGGAGCGTCTGTGAAGCACAGGGGGCCTGGGGGAGGACAGCGGGGGAGGTACAGTGGGACCCAGGAGGGCGTGGCAGGCCGGTACACAGGTGCAGGGTGGGAGGGGAGAGGCTGCGTGGAGAACAGAGGGCACCTGATGAGGGAGGGCCGTGGCTGGCAGGGGCCACGTCTGCTGCCCCGGGCAGCTGCACCTCCCACCACAGCCTACCCAGGCCTGGCCAGAGCCCCAGCCTCCTCAAAAAGGCCTCCTTGTGGAAGTGGAGCTGCTGCCCATCTCCTGGGGTCCCTACTGAGGCCAATACAGCCCCTTGGGCACCAGGCTGTGAGGAAGCTGAGGGGTGAGGGGCAGAGCCTGGCCTGCACGTGCCCTGATGTGTGTGCGTGGTCAGCGCCTCTCCCTAGGCAGCCTCGGGCCCTGGGAGACGCATGGCCAGCTGGCTCAGCCCTTCCCGATGGGGGGCACCTGCCCGCTCAGGGAGATGCAGCTGCCCAGGTACCACAGCCTCAGAGCTGAGCCCCACGTCCTGAAGACGCAGCCTTAGCCTCTCAGCTAGCCTGGGGGAGGGCATGCCCTGTGCACACCTGCAGGAAAATTAGCTTTAAGTATTTACAATAGAAGCTAGAAAAGGCCTGACATCAATGATCTGTTTCTACCTTAAGATGGCGGGAAAAGAAGGGCAGAGTAACCCCAAAGGCAGAAAGAAATAACACAAATGAAAGCAGAAAGTTTTTTAAAAATAGAAGCAAACAGAATTAACGCATTCTAAAGTTGATTTCTATAGACAGCAATAAACACTATGAAGGCCAACGAAGGAAAAGAACAGGGACTCAACTCCAACATAAGACAGGAGCAGTGGCAGGGCCCTACAGATACAGAGAAGGAAACGGCCATGCTGCAAACAATGTCGTCCCAGGAAACCTGGCAGTTAAATGAAATAATCACATTTCCTGAACAGTACAACTTACTCAAGTGGACAGGAGATGAAACAGAAAAGCTATGCAGCCCTTTATTCTATAACAACATCAAATTCCTTATCAAGCCTTATCAGCCTTCCCGTAAGAGGCCTCTAGCACTGGGAGGAGGAGAATCAGGCCAGCTGGCCGAGGGAGCCCAAGGCCAGCCGGGTCACTCCGACCCAGTGAAGGCTGGAAGGAACCATGGGTCCACAGCCATGTGGGGATCCTCTGCATGTGACAAAGTCGAGAGCATTTTAGGGACTTGTGGTGTCAAGGTTGCTGGGCGACTTCCTGGTCATGAACCAGTGCGGTGGTGGAGCGAGTGAAAGGCCTGCCAGCTGCAACTGCAGCATGCACGATACCATTTCCTGACACCCGAGGCTTGCAAAGCAGCTCCCAGAAGGGAGTGTAAGAGACAACGATGGTCTGCAGAACCCTGGTGGTCAAGGTGAGTGATGGGCACGTGGGGTCACTTTTGCTCTCCCTTGCCTAAAGGAAATTCGTTCCAGGGAAGAGCACCCCCTTCATGGGTGGCCAAGCCCCCAGGCACAGCACAGACCCTGCCCAGGCTGGGAACAAAGGTTCTCGGACAGCTGCTCCCACCTGTGTCCTCTGTTGCCCCTGCCCACCTCCCATGCAGCCCTGAGTCTCTTCACTTGCAGGGTCTGCAGGGGCACAGCCATGTCCCCGGGGAGGACATCTCAGCAGCTCCAGATGTGACGTGCACACACAGCCACTCTGCACCCACTGCCTGCCTGCCTGTCCCCAGCATCACAGGCGGCAGGCCCTGGCCAGCTGGGTGTGACATGGAGCACATCACTTCTCATAGCCTTCTGGGTGCAGCCCCCTAAGGGCCCAGTCGTGACATTTATGCGGTAGCCACGCCCAGCACAGAGCGGGGTGGCACAGGCTGCAGTGAACTACTAATAGGGCTGGGGGCTGCAGTGGTGCGTGGTGGAGCTCAGCTTGCTTCCAAACTCCTTTTCACTGACTTTTCCCCTCTTCAAAGGACAACATAACCTGGCCCAGCTGTACGTCAGGAACTTCCAAGTGGCCAGGTCTGCTGCTCCCTCCCTCTCCCCTGGGCTCCCCACTGCCAGTGCTCTTCCACTACCTCAGACCTTGCTCCCAGCAGTAGGTGGGGCCTCTACACGTGGGGCCAAATGGCCAACACAGGCGTGGGATAGAGCTCACAGGGATCAGCTCTCTAGGAGACTGGCAGAGGCCTCTTCCCACCTCTACCCCACCAGGAAGAAGGATACCGAGTAGGCAATGTACTTCCAACTGCTTGGCAGGAGCGGAATGATGATCCCAAAGTTGACAACAGAGAAGACCAGGTAGGTGGCCCAGGAGACCGCCTGGAAGGGGTGGAGGGGCAACGACCAGCCATTCACCCTGGACAGGTTGCGTGGCAGGCTCTTCAGGCTCATGCCCTGGGCTTCTGGGAGGACCCGTCGAAGGCTCCTGCTGAAGAGGTCCATCTGCAAGACAGAGGGGCCACGGAGGCTATCAGGCCCTGGATGGAGCAGGGATAGGCTGTGGGACCCACCAGCCATCACCGGAACCTCCCAGGCCCAGGACCAAGGGCTGACACCTGGCATGGCCCCGAGCCACTGCAGCACACCTGGGAGTGGCTGGAGTGGGCTGGCATCCACTTCCACAGGATAGCCCTGGGGGGCTGTGGAACCCAAGGGCACACATTTGTTCACCTGGCCAGGGGCCCAGATGACCAGGCGTGTACAATCTCTGGGGAAGCCCTTGCCAGGCACCATAGCAAGGTGACTCCTAGATCTCGTGTATAAACATGCACTGACCCACTGGTGCCAGAAGAAAGTCCAGCACACCATTGAAGCCACCAAGAAAATGCAGGAAAGGAGGGTTGTTAGCAAATTAGCTGTCACTGCACCTGCCAGAAACCCCTCCTCCAGCACTTCCACCTCTGCAAGTGCCGCACAAGAATACAGCTAGAGGCCACACTGCAGAGGGCTCTGGTTAGCCCTTCCTCGGAGCCCTGGGACCTCTGGACACTGCAGGGTTCCCCAGGTGAACAGTGGCAGGAGGGGCTCCATGGTCACTTCCGGCTCAGCAGGGGAGGATGGTGGCTGGCATTGGAGACAGGGTGTGGAAGACACCCATGGCTGGGAGATGTTAAAGAGGAGCTTTGCAAAATGTGGCCTTATGCAAAGGGAAAAATCATTCAGAAAGAGTAGCAGATGGAAGCATTTTAGGAAGAGATGTGAGGAACATTCTGGGACTCTTGTCCCCTGTGAATTGAGCATCCACAAGGCTCCCTGGAGCACACTGTGGCTGCTGGGCTCCTGTACTCTCTGAGTGACCTCAGGCAGGCAAAGCCACAGGGCTGGGGCTTCAAGGTGGCCTGAACATGTCTGGGGAGCTTCAGGGGAGTGTGGCTATTGTGAAGCGAGACCATGGTACTGGGGCAATAATGTGTACTGAAAATGCAACTGCCCACTAGATACAAAATCCAGAGGAGGGCACCAACTGACAGAAAGATGTTGCCAAAAATCTGAATAGTACTCTGGAAGGTCAATGGAGCAGTCACAGATGCCAGAGTGGCAAGGCAGAGATAGACCATGAACCAAATCCCCTGAAACCATATGCCAAATTGAACCTTTCCTCCTTTAAATTGTGGTGTCAGGTGTTGTGTCCCAGCAACAGGAAAGCTAATAGAGAAAACTGATATCAGGAGTGGGGTCCTGCCGTGACTGTACCTGACCATGTGATTCAGAAGCCTTTGTGATTGGTTTATGGGAGGAGTTTGAAACACTTGGAGGTGCCAACTAGGGAAGTCCTGAATTCCTGTAAACAGAGCCTGGTGGATGATCTGGTCAGAGTTCAGATGACTAGAATGCTACAGGAAGGCAGACAGGAAAGACCAGGCTCATGAGGTTTCAGTGAGGAATAAGGGCTCCACTGGCAGTTGGGCTAGAAGTCTTGTGCACTATACTTTGGCAAAAAAAAAAAAAATGTCATATTTTGCTCTTATCCTGAGAGTGGGGGAGACGGAGGTGAAGGGTGGTGGATTAATTGATCTGGCATAGGAAATTTCAAGGCAGCCAAAACTCAGGCTGTGGCATGGGCACTGCTGGCTACTTTTAGCCAGATTTATAGTGAGAACTGAGGTCAAAAAGTAAAGCAAAATTTTTGAAAAACTTTAAATTTGACCCAGAAGAAACCATATGTAAAATTGGGTCCAAAAGAGGTGTGGCTACTGAAGAGTTTAGTGCTTTGAGGATAGCTCAGAAATCAGAAAGACCCCACCATCACAGGCTGAAGGATACAAAACGTCAACCTTTCATTTGAGAAGAGAGAGTCTAGGGATTCTGCCCAAGAAGAGCCTCCTACTGAATTGGTTCCCTGGGATTCATTTCATTGTGCTCAGCCATCCAGGCACCAGAGCCTGCTGCAGCCATGATCCAAGGGGGCCTGGCTACTACTTCCACTGACAGCAGACCTTGACACTGTCAACCTGATGCTGTTTTAACCAACATGCTAAATGTAAGGTTTGTGGGGTCAGGGAGGCTTCCACCCAGATTATAAGAGAGGCCAAGCAAGGAGCCCCTGAGAGAGAAGTATGTGAAGCTGTGGGGATGAGGCCAAAGGTGCAGTGGCAAACCCAGGAACTTAGAGGTGTCATGGAACATCTGCCAAGGAAAGCTGCAGGCTATGAGTGGAGCCAGCTGAAGAAAGAAGTCTTGTGGGCTTCTTTCTACCTGTAAGGCCACGGGGCTGGAGCCGCCCAAACTGCTGGAACTCTCCTCTCACCACCACGTGGCCCAGATGCCAGATATGGAGCTACAGGGCCTCACGTTTGTCCACTCTGGTTTCAGTCTTGCTTTGATTCAGCTCTTTTCTGTTCCCCTGTTTCTTCCTTTTGGAAGGGGAATGTTTACCCTGTGCCATTGCACCTTGGGATTATGCAATTTGCTTTTCTCATGGAGGCTCAGTTTGTCTTGAGTCTCAGAATTGGCTTTAACTTTTGAATAATGCTGGAACTGTTGAGACTGTGGAGGAAATTAGTGCTTTTTTGATTGCACACGGGACAGTTGTATCATGTTAAGCAGAATTATGAATTTGCTATGGTCCTTATTTGGAGATTAAGCATGGATTAAGTATGGTTTAAGGAGATGTGTCTGGGGTGGAATGTGACCATTAATCATGATGTGTCAAAGGGAGTGGTAAAAAACTGTCTAGGGGCTTAGTAAAGTGTACTTCTGGGTGTGTCCTGTTGGGTCAAGAAGGTGTGATCTTAGGTATTCTCCGTGGTCCGTGCCCCTTCCTCTCTGGCACTGTTCCCCTGCTATGCTTCCTGTCTGCCACAAACTAAGCATCTCTGCTCTGTCATGCCCTTCCACCATGATGTTTTTGCCTTAGAGCAAACTGACCAATGGACTGAATCCCTGAAACTGTGAGCCAACTGAAACTTGTCTTTTTACTTACGGATGTTGGGTATTGTGTTTTAGTGACAGGAAAGCTAACACAGCAAGGTACCTGGTCAAACATTTGCCCAGGGGAAAGGACTAGGTTAAACTTTTCCCCAGATATCCAGGGCTAGGTATCTGGTCAAACTTTTATTCTGATCTCCAGAGCAAAATATCTTGTGAAACCTCAGTCCGATCTATGCAGCAAGTTACTTGGTCAAACCTTTATGCAGACCTCCAAGGCAATGTACCTGATCAAACATTTACCCAGATCTACTGGGGCAAGACATGTGGTTAAACCTTTACCCAGGTCAATAAAGCAAGTTACCTGGTCAAATCTTTACCCAGATCTACAAGGCAAAGTACTTGCTTAAACCTTGACTCAGACCTATGAGGCCATTTGCCTGTTAAAGTTTAACTCAGACCTAAGAGGCAAGCACCTAGCCTGCTGCGGCCTCCTTGTCTCTTTTCAGGTTATGGGATTGCTTGTGGTGGATTCTCCAGTGATGACAAGAGCACCTGAGTTGACCAGAGGGGCTAGATGTCACCCTACAGAGGGACAGGAGGACGTCCTTGTACACCTCTCCCTTTCAGTGGAGTCTGATCCTTCTTTAAACATTTCTGTTCATAAATTCCAAATACTCTTTCCATGAGTTTAGAATATATGTAAAGGGAAAAATGTGTAATTTTCTACTTTGAGTTCATACTTTCTAGGAGGTCAGAAAAACCAGGACCAGCCCCTGGGTGGTCAGCTGGGTTGGCCCTCCCTTCCCTGCTTTGGAGTGGAAGACCGTGTGCACCCTGCAGAGGTGGAGTCGGCTCATTAAGTAGGCCCCACGGGGGCTGCCAGACTCCCTGCCACTTCCACTCAGCATTTGCAAAAGGCACCTCCTAGCCCGTCTGCCCTTCTTGTAGATACACCCACCATGCATGGATCCTCATTGGGCCAGGCCCTGGGGCATCAGCTTCCTCCTCTAGACTGAACTCTGCCCTGCCTGCTCCAAACTGACAAATGTCAGAAAAGACCCAAGGAGGACAATGATGCCTCCTGGTCTGGAGGGCCACTGGGGACCCATGTCCCATGCTCCCCCTGCTTTGGACACCATCCACCTGGGAATGATGTCCAAGAGGCAGCCACAGGTGCACAGGGCAGCAGGGAGAGGATGTGTCCCAGGACAGAAGGGAAGGGTGCATGCATGAATGCTCAGCCACAGGGGACAGGGCACTGGGGCCCAACCATGGGGTCCCCAGCAATGCATCAGCTGCCAGGGGAAAACACCCATTCCTGCCAGGCCCAGGCTCAACTCTGAACACTGCTCTGCAGGAAGGCACTCACTCAGCACAATGCACGTACCACACAGCACCGCGCATGGCATGAGGAAATAGGCATGGGACACGTTGCGCACTACATACACCACGCAATGCCACATGTGCCACACACAGCATGCACACACACACAGCGCATGCACCATACAGCACGGCGGACAGCATGAGGAAACGCACAGGACATACCACACGATACCACACATACCATATATAGCACACATACACAGAACACACACCACCATGTAGCACACATGATATCCCACAATACATGCACCACATGCAATACAATACACAGAGCACCACACACGGCACACATTAGTACCTACACCACACACATGCAGCACAATCCTTCTGGGTTCCTGACGCTCTCTCCCTGCCTATGGGGCCCTCACGTCCCTCCACCCTGCCTTGGTTCCCTGGCTGCTTCCCTCTGGCCCACACTTGCCCAGTCTGGCTGGGGCCCCTTGTTTACTTGTTCCAAAACGCAGGAATGGGGGAGTCTGAGATGTGTGACTGGCCCAAAAAGCAGCACTGTTGGGCTGAGTGGCGCCTGGAGCCTCTCTGGCCCTGGCAGCTCACACCTTAATTCTACTCCTCCAGAGGCTCCACTGGGTTCCCATGCAGGCATCTATGCTGGATGTCACCGCAGTGGCCATCAGATAGTGACACCGTGGGGCCGGCACTCTTGGGCTCTCCGAGGATAATGCCTCTGCCAGTCCTGTGTACAAATCTGGTTTTTTTTGGTACCGGGGATCGAACTCGGGTCCTTGCGCTTGCGCAGCAGGTGGCAGAAACCACTGAGCTACATCCCCAGCCCATGTGTACAAATCTGGACAGCCGTGGCAGTGCGCCACATTGTCTTCCTTTGAAGATCTGAAGACAAACTGCCTCTGCACACACCCAACACCCCCACACACCCATGCACACCTGCACACACCTCTACCTTCGCTTGGGGCCTCGACACTTCGCTGCTCGGCTGGAGACCAGATGCAGCCCACATGCCAGCCAGTGAGTAGCCACACTGGTCTCCCTTGGCATGCAGCCCTCCTGTCTCAGCAGCCCAGAAACCACCCATCCGGACCTTCCTGTGCATGGCCCCTTTTGCTGAGTGTCACGAGGCAGAAATTCCGGGACCTCCGGAGGAGTCCAAGTGGATTGTGCTGCTGGGTGTGGTGTCTGAACCTCAGCCAGCCAATCCCGAGCCTCCACTGCGGCCCTTGGAGTGAGGTGGGAAACAGCACCTGCCACCTGCAGCGCCTGCCCACCCTGACCTGTCACCTCTCCCACAGGCTGAGCAGCAAAGTCAGCACCTCTCACGGGCACCAGCCAGACTGGCACCAGCCAGACTGAGAAGCAGTGCGTCCTCCCTGGTCCACACGGCAGCCATGGAACCCCAGGCGCCTCACAGACCTGTATGGCAGCCATGGAGACACGCTGTGGGGGCTGGGCACCCAGCTCAGGGGTCCTGTGTCGTGGGCCTCGAGCCACTGGGAGGCGGGGCTCGACCCCCACGCTGCCCGCCCCAATCCTGCTTCAGGCCAGGCCCTCGAGGCAGATGTGCTACCCAGGGGCCACCTGAGCCCACCGCCACTGTGCAGGCTCCTTCCTGACATGTGAGTGCCCCATGGCAGGCTGGGGAACCCGTGTCCTCAGCACAGCCTCAGCCCATGTGCAAGGTGCCCTTGCTCCTGCCCACCCCCAAGCCCTCTGCCCACAGCATCCAGAACCCTAGGCCCAGGAAGTCTCTGGCTCCCTACTGTGGGGTCTACTGACTGTCTGAATGCATGGTCATACACACGTGCACGAGGGGGTGGAGTAGAGGGGTGCGTCCTTCTGTCTACTGTGGCTTCCCTGGTGCCACCCACCACCCGACCAGGCCTTCTACAGCGGGCCACATGCCAAGGCTGCAGTGTCCGGCTTGGCTGTGCAAACCCATGCTGGTGACTAGCAGCAGCTATGTCAGGCGGGCAGGCACAGGAATGGCTCACATGGCTGGCAGCTGTGACAGCATCACACTCCCTAGGACCCAGGGCCTCGCTCCGGATGGCCTAGGGTGGGGACGCCCGGGAGCCTCAGCTCCTTGCCATACGCTGGCCCCCGGGATGACGCAGGCCTCCTTCTCCAGAGCTTGCCCCGCCTCTGCTGGGCTCCAGCTTCCTCTGTGGGTCACAAGTAGGCTCAGTCCTGGCCCCATGGCAGTCGCTCACGGAAACAGGCATTCCAGATGTTTCCCTGGGACCAGGATGGCCAGCCTGTGCTCACGCCTGCTGCACACGAAGCCTAACAGCTGTGGCAGTGGGCTGCATTGGCTTCCTGTCTGAAGATCTGGAGGCACAATCACACTGCACACAACTACACGCCCACACACGCCTCACCTGCACACTCACCTGCATGCCCATGTCCACCTTGCCTGTGCACACACATCACTCGCACACGCACACCTGTACCCTCCTTGCCTGCACACCCGCACACCCACATGCTTTGCCCGTGGACTCCCGTCACACGCACAACCCCCACTTACACTCTTCTCACTTTACACACTTCCTCACAGACCGAGGGCTTTCGGGGTGACTCCTCTGCCTCTTCTTTGCTCCCAGCACTAAAGGCCATACTGTGAGCCTGCACAGGTCCCAAGGCAGGGGTGGCCTCACCCCAGCGGCACCAGTGCAGGCTCCCACACCTGGAAGTTCACACCAGCCAGCCAGGGCCAGGCTGAGCTTGCAAATGCGAAGTCTGCCTCAATTTCCCCATCTATAACAGCCTTGAGGAAGCCTTGGGGCAGATGGGGCTCTGTGCTCAGGGCTCCACAGACACCCGAGTGGCTAGATTGCGGCAGAGGGGCCTGGGACTAGCCTTGGGCCACACACCAGCAGATCCCACCACACCGCCCATTTCTCCAACATGAGCAGACTGATATGCAGGGCCTGGCCTGGCCTGGGAGGGAGCTGTGGGCCTCATGGCTCACCTTTGTCCTTGGGCTGTGACAGCTGCCCTGCACCCCAGCTCTGGCCTACATTCCCTCCACAGCTGAGGCTCAGGAGACACCACCAGGGACACAGCCTATGGAAGAATTGGAGATGGCCTCCCAGGTTGTGGGGTTGCAGAGCCATGCCCAGCCGCATGCAGTATGCCACTGGGGTCCCCTGAAACTCATTTCCTGTTAGCGACATGCATGTGGCAGTCCTTTCATGCCCTGCCCTCATCCTGGCCCCCAGGGAGTGACACTGCTCACAGAAGCAGCCACCTTGAGGCCACAAGAGAAAGGACCATGGGTCAGAGCCACTGAGCTGTTAGGGTTTAGAGCTAAAATGTCCCCAGAGGGAAGGGGTGGGTCACCTGGGTGCGAACCAGAAGGGTGTGCTCTCGTCCCCACTCCTCCCTGCTGCTTCCTGGCTGCTACATGCTGAGCAGTTTTCCTCTGCCATGCCATTCTGCCACACCGTTTCTGCCTTGGAGTGAGCTGACTGTGGACTGGATCCCCTGAAACCATGAGCCAAATAAACCAGACTGCCTCCCTAGGCTGTGGGTGTCAGGTGCTGTGTCCCCATGATGGAAAGGTGACTAAGACACCCGAGGACAGCATCAGCCACCATAGCCAACTTCCATGATTTTGCTTCACTGCATGCAGGTCGCGTGGCTGAGGCCCACAAGCTGTCACCAGGGATCAGAGTGCTTGAACCCAGGGAGCAGGAACCCATTCTGGAGAGCTCCGCCCCATCAGGCCCTCTGGTTCCAGCTGATGGGGAGGTGCTGTGGCCAGGCTTGGGGGGCCAAGGTTCCTGAGGCAGCAGCAGGGGTCCTTAGTCTCTGGGGGCTGCTCCCATGTCCTAGACACAGATGGGGCCTCTCAGAACTCTCTAAATTGTCACGGACCCTCGGTAAGAGTCACACTGCCAGGCAGGGGCTGGGTAGCTGCCCCCACAGCTGTGGCACCAGATCCCCTGTGCTTAGGCTGTCCAGGAGGAACCTCGCAGTGTCCCACCTTGCCCAGAAACCTCATCAGGCAGGCAAGAGCCAAGGAACAGCGGCCCACAACTGCAGCTTTCCCCACCCACGCAGGCCGGGCCCATCCTTTGTGCACCTCCACCAGGCGGCAGTGCCAGGAGACCTCTCGGGCCAGTGCGCTCTGGCCAGGTCCTCCTGCAGCCACCTGTGTATTCCCTGGCCCGGCACCCAGATGTCAGTGTCCCCAGGAGGGATTCCATGCTGCCAGCCCTATATGGCCCAGGCAGGCCTGATGCAAAAAAGCAGGCTGCCCACTAGGGTCTCTGGCCCTGAGCTCCCTGATGGCACAGAGGGCTGTGGACCTGAGGGAGGTGAGAGCCATGACCACGGAGGACAGGAACCTAAGGCGTGCCCAGGGCCCGGAGGGCACCCACCTCAAGGACTCCGGGGGCGGGGCAGGCCAGGCACTGAGCGTGAGCTCACGAGAGCACACTGTCCTCAGTGGTCTGTCTGGTGTGGCATGCAGCGTCTGAGACACTGTGGGATGTGCGCCCTGGCCTCCCTGTCCTGAGAGGCACCACGGCCTGTGGGTGACCTGTGCCCTCACCCTGGTTGGCTCTTTTGATGCACAGACCCTACAGTCTGCACCAGGAGGTTCCACCTCAGGAGCGCCCGAGCATCACTGGCAGCAAGGGCCGGATACATGAACCCCACGGCAGAGGAGGGAGCCGGTGCAGGGGGGCCTGTGAGTGATCTCACACATGAAGTCCCCACAGGCCAGTCCAAGCACCGACTGCCAGAGGACACAGGGTTTCTCTTTAGGTGACGGAATGTTCTGGAAGATGACAGACGTGGTGGCCACTAAAGAGCCTGAACACATTTAAGGCCACTTGACCGTGCCCCTTAGAGCAATCAATGCTAAGCTTTATGGTACACATTTTACAAAATTGAAAATAAAATGGTTTTTGGGGGACGCACTGAAGTTTGAACCCAAGGCCTTCACACTGAGTTATATCCCAAACCCTTTGAGACAGGTTCTTACTAAGTTACTAGGCTGCCCAGAACAGGGCTGAATCTGCCATCCTCCTGCTCAGCTTCCCAAGGCAGCTGGGACTGCAGGCATGTCATCCAGCATGTCTGGCTACAGCTACAAATGCCCTTGGGCCACTGGCCTTTCCCTCTTCAAGGAGAGGCATGAGGAACGCCGTGTCCTTGCCTCTCCATCTGTACTCGTGGCAAGAGTACAGTGGACGGTGTGGCCCTTCCCATCTGCAGGGTTAGACACTGCCCACAGGGGGTGCGCGTGCTCCCCACAACCCCAGCTTTGGCCTCGCTGTCTGTCCCAGAGGCACCCAGTCTGCATCACACGGTGGTTATGTCTGCTGAGTGTGGACACTTCACAGCGGCAGTGGCTCCTGTCCTCGGGACCTGCTGCGGAACACGGCTGTCTCCGTCTGGGAGCCCCAGCCTCGGTCCTGCTGAGGCCTGGCCAGCGCAGCACGTGACTCCAATACTGCTGCTCCAGGAGCCCTGCTCCGGTGGTGGCTCAGGGGTGGGGTGTGAGTTGCAGAACCACAGAGCAGCAGGGCCAGGGCATAGCGGCTGAAAGTGTGGCCGAGCTCTGGCCTCTAGGCCCCGTGAGGACACTGTTCCTCTGGGGTATAAGCCTGGCCCCACCTGACTTGTCACATGGCTCTCAGGCTCCTTCGCCAACATCCAGAGAAGCCTTTGCGAGGCTCCTTAGCGCCCAGCCACCTCTCACCTGTCTCGGGCAGCCATGCTGGTCTCTGGCACTGGGCGCTGGCCACGGGTCCATCACAGCCTCCTCTGGGGACCAAGCATCTGTCCTCACCCCGCCCCCAGACGGCGGGTTCTTCACGCTCCCATTCCCACCATGAGGGCGGTCTGTGGAACACACAGGTGTGCTGCATCACAGCTGGGCAGGACAAGCATGTGCTCGCCAGCTCGGAGTCTCTACTTTATTGGCATCTGTGTCCAGGGCAGTCTGTGGTACACACAGGCAACCAACAAACACATCAGGGCATGGATGTCTCGCTGTGCTTAACGGTGATCCCATGGCAGTTGTTGCCTGTCTTCCGGTGCAACACATCCCTCCGAGGTATGGCAGGCACAGATGCAGGCTGCCCACCAGCCTGCCCTCCATGCCTGTGGTCCACACTGGAGTGGAAGGGCCCAGCTGGCTGGTGCTAGAGGCACTGCAGAGGGGCATGGCAGGCTGCAGGCCGCACCGCTGTGCTCTCCAAGTGATGGTACAGCGGCAATGCTGGGCCCCCTTGTGCCTGACACGAGGCACGCCGGTACAGACAGGCCAGCACTCCCCAGGCCAAGCTGCAGGTCAAAGGGGACAGGTCAAGTCTTTCATGACAGATTTTACAAGCAAAGCAAACGTACAAAACACAAGACTCTTAAGACTACCTACAAACTAGTTCTTCACAGAGGCTGCTGGTGCTGGAGACTGAAGGAACTCGTAAGGGTCGTGGGTCCCATCCTGCTGTTCCCCAACACTAAGGCGAGAAGGGCTCCCTGCAAATTGTAGAAAACATGGCATTCCAACAGGCACCATGGATTTGCAATGATGCTGTGTGACCACTGGAAAAGAAAATGTTACCTCCTGGGCTCCCAGAGACCCAGGGCTGCCCAGGACCTGCTGTAGGCACTGCTTGGCTGACAGCCTGACCACAGGTGAAAGGGACCCAGAGCACTGGTCCTCCTTGGAGGGCTGCCCCAAGCCTCTGTGCCACCACCTCCTCAGAAAAACGTCAAGACTCGTTCTGCCCATGGGTAATGCAGTACTTCCTTGTGAAAGGAAAAAAAAGAATCGTACCAGGGTCAGGGGTAGCAGCTCAGGGGGAGAGCACTTGCCTAGCATGCACGAGGCCCAGGGTTCCCTCCCCAGCACCAGAGAGAGAACTAATGCATGCTGAAGGACCCACAAGGTCCTTGTGGATCCTCAAGGATCTGGTGTCCATGCAGCCAGAGGCTGCCAGTGTGGCCCTGTGGCTCCTTGAACATATCCTATGGCAGATACAGTCACAGACTGGCTCCAAAGAAACACTGAGAACATGCTACTGGCTGACATAGACCAAACTGGGAAGGGCACGGGAGCTGGGGACAGCTGGAGTGACACAAGCACCCCTCAGCCTGCCCTACCTCATCTCGGCGGCACCTGGGGCTCCTTGCTCTGGGTCTGCTGCGCTGACCAAGGAACTGGGGAGCTCACAGGGCACAGAGGGCACAAGCACGGCTGGCCGAGGCCATGCAAAGCTCCTGTGTCAGAGCCACACTCTGCCCTGGGCCTGATTCAGGGCCACATGCCAGCCTTTGTCTACATGAGCCGCCACCCACGGCGCCACTGCCAGCATGGAGAGGCCTACCTGGGGGGTGCTGCTCCCTCTCAGAAGCATTGGACAGAGAGCTGAGGTTGGAGGATGGCCGGGAGCCGCCTCGCTCTGCCTGTGCTTCATGCAGGTCCTGCAGGAGCTTCGCTGTCTCGTCCAGGTTCAAGTGGCCATCATCATGGTCCAGGTCCTTCTTCATCTTCCCTATGTGAACAGAGGCGAGCGGATAGCCTGGGCCACAGGGTCGATGGGTGCTGGATGCTGACCCTCTGCCCAGGACCAAAACCCCTTGTGAGGTCACTGCTGCAGGAGCTCGGCAGAGGGTGCTTAGCTCACGGACAACAGTGGTAAGTGCCCAGCACCCTCGGACCAGTAAAGAGCCACAAGGAACCCCAGCCACCTGAGGCACAAACACCAACCTCCGACTCTCAATGTTGAGAAAGCTACCAGAGTGGGCAACAGCGTCAGGCCTGGGGGCCTAGCTGAAGTTCAGAAAACATGGGTGACCTGGACAGTGCAGGCCTGTGTGCCGAGCCCTACGAGGAGCCACTGCAGACCCAGACTCAGCCCAGCCTGCTTCCCAGCAGCCTCCAGTTGGCCTCCACAATCATCTTCTCAGGGCTAATGTGTGTCCAGTCTCACAGAACTTGGGAGACCCAATACACCATGGTACCATGGGGATGGCAGTGGGGCACTGTTATAGCTGTGTCTAGATGTCCCCCAAAAGCCTCATGCAGTCATGGGTGGGGCTCTTTCACAGGTGGCTGGATCTACTGTGTGAGTGTGAGGTGCTACAATTTATTTGCGGTGCAGTGCTGGGTCCAAGGGCCCCAGGATTGAGGGGTGAGCGCTGCCCTCCCTAAGTGGTCTGGATAAGATAAAGGGCAGAAAGGGGCTGTTCAGCTCCCTTGCTTGCTTCTGCTGCCTTCTGCTGGCAAACTGTTTCTTCTCTGCAAGGTTCCCCGCCAGGTGCCACCCTGGCTTGGAGCCAGCAAACTACCGACTGAAATCTCTAGGAACTGTGAGCCAAATAAATTTTTCCTCCTTTAACTTTGGGTGTCAGGTATTTTGCCCCAGCAATGAAGGAGGAGTGACTAAGACAGGCGTCCACATGAGAAGCCACACGGGAAGCGCCCAGGAAGACTCACCCAGAGAGCTAAGCATGGAGATGTCCAGGGAGACATCAGAGTATGACTTCATCGACATGAAATCCAGGACGGAGCCACCGCTGTCTCCCAGAGAGTCCCCAACCTGCGAAAGACCAAACAGCAAGCTTAAATGATGCCAAAATACGCTTAACGAAAAGTGCAGCTTCATGCTAGCGACAGTAGTCACTGCACTTTGCAATGTGAGACAGATCGAGCACTGGCCTCCGAAGCCGCAGTCCAGGACCAGGGCCTGGGGTCATGAGTGGATGTGCAAATGCATATCCGGAAGCACTGACTCAGAGCAGCACAGCTACTGGAACTGTGCTAACAACAGGACCTGCTGGCCTCACGGAACGGGGGCACCATAGTGCCCAACAAGTCACAGAATCTCAAGGCCCAGGGCATTTTCCAGACACGAGGTGGCAAATTCCAGACCCAAGGCTTCTTTCCCTCCTCAGTGTAGGGGAACCCGAAAGGGGAGCCAGCAGCCACCGGGCTTGCTCCAGCCACTTCCCTGGGGACCAGCTGCACGCAAGCCATGGCAAGTGGCTCAGGGGACGCGACCCAACCTTCCACCTGGCGGGGAGGGCACACACTGCACTGATGGCCGGGCTCTGTTGCATGCCACACCTGCTGGGCAGCCCCCATCTCTGACAGCACCTGTGGAACTGGTGCTCTGAAATTCTTGCTTCTGGACTTGGAAGGGAAGTGCTGTGGTTCCACCCTGTACCCTCAAGTCACCCAAATGGTTGGTGAATGACACTCCTCGGACATGGGTCGGTCGCCAGTGGATGACAGAAGGCTGTCCTGCTGCACCACTGCAGGGCCGACGTGCCCTCTCTTCCTGAGTCTAAGGCCTTTGCTCACTTGAGAAACCCACCTTCACTTCGTCCGCAGCTCGCACTGGCACGTTTCTCCTCTGGAAAGAACAAAGTAGACACCGGTTTGTCCAGAGCAATTGTATGTGAAGGGCAGTTTGTCCCTGCTGCGCGCGCGCACGCACACACACGCGCACACACACACACACACACACGCACACGCACACGAAACCACAACGGCTCTTTCTTGGCCTGGGCCCTGCTTGTCACACACAGCCTTGTTAGGCCTGTGGGCTGAAGGGTCTCGCTAGGCTGTTCACAGTGCAAGGTGGCTGTGCCAGAGGGGACGGTGGGGCAGGAGGGGATGTAGGGGCAGGTGGGTTCCCAAGGCTGTTAGTAGCTGAGGGTTTTTAATACAAAAACGGGCAACTCAGAAAAACAGGCCCAGTGGTTTAAACTCAGGTGTGACCGAGCGCAGAGGCTGGTGGGAGTGCTATGGGGACAGGCATCCCAGGACAGCTGGACCCCTGGTAGCACCTGCACAGGTGGACAGGGCTGTGTGTCACCTTTGTCTTATGCTCCAGCAAAAGGATCCCCTTAAAAACACCTTAGTTTTGTGAACATTCCTCACACACAGGCATTCAGTGTGCACACACATATCTAGGATCTTTGTCTCAGAAGGGCTGCTCAGATTCAGTTATGCTGTGATTTCTACCAGCTTTTCATGAGAAATGTGGCCATTATTTTAAGGTCTCTTTGCTCATAAAAGGTTTCTGCTGTATCATGTGCTTTATCATTTAATGCAGTGGAGCACCTGGAATTATTCAACTCTAACTGCAGACCACTCACGCTCAGAAAAGTAGCTGAACTGGAGTCCACAGCTAGCTGACCGCGTGACCTCGTGTCAGGGCCACAGGGAGCAGCCTCCTTCGTGGTACTGCAGGTGAGTCAATGTTGTGCTCTGAGCCTGGCTTCCCACCTGCACAAGGATGGGGCCAGAGCAGGTGCGAAGCTCATGGCTGGTGCACAGCTCTGAGAGGACTTGCACTGGCAAGGGCAAGACTCAGGCCAGAACCACCATGAGTGTCATGGGCCAAGTACTCTGACAGCCCACGCAGACAAATGTCCCCCAGCCAGCAGAGACCCCACAGGAAACTCGGGCCACTGGAAGAGACCCAAGCTACCCTACCAAAACACTATCCAGACCAGCCCTGCTGGGGCAGATGACGCCCAGTAATCTAACTTCCTGACTTAAAGAAATGTCAATAGCCTTGGAAAGACAATAAAATCCAACCAGTCTTGGGCTAGAGACATAGCTCTGTGGTTCGGTGCTTGCCCAGCATGCACAAGGCCCTTGGTTTGATCCCTATGACCCAGGTAGAAGAAATTCAACCAGCCTTGTCCAACAGAAATACACTATAAGTACACACCTAATTTAAAATTCTCTAGTAGCACAATAAAAGCACTCTTAAGAAGCAATTAATTATAACATTTACTCACCTGACACACAAAAAACAGTTGTATCCTAACACATAACTCATATAAAATAGTTAATACTTTTTTTGGTTTGTTTTCTGTTGGTCTTTAAAGTTCTCACTGACATCTAAATTCCAACTTGTACATTCACAGTTCTCAGAGGCTGCATGTGGCTGGTCTACCCGGGCCTGAGTCCCCGCAAGGGCAATTCACAAAGCCCCAGGTCCAATCAGAGCTGTGGGGTGCATGGGAGCAGCCCAGGATGAGTGACAAACCCAAGGCAGGTCCAGGGATGAGGGCTTCAAAAGCAGCCACAGTAAATATGATGAACATGCTCACGATTAAGGGGAAGATGAACGTAATGCAAGAGCACGGAAGATGTGAAAAAGAACCACATGGAACCCTACAGATGCAAAACTCAGGAAAGGGGCCATGCACAATATACACGTGACAAGTTTCTTTACCAGATAATTAATTTTTTAAAGCAAAATTTAAAACCAGTAAGAGAAGAGCAGCCATAAGTGTCCCTCTTCCCTGGGAACCAGTCAGGTGGGTCGGGCTTTTCCACAGAGGCAAGGCCCCAAGTGGGGCCAGAACCTGCACCACTGCAGTGTCCCCACGCAGCCCACCTGCCTCAGCTGGAGGAGCATCCGAGAGTGGTCTCCACCTGCGATCTGGTCCAGCAGATCGTCCACCATCTTCTTGCTGTAGCTCCCAGCATCTTTCACGAACTCCTGCAGGCTGCAAGGGACCATAAGAGGGACAGGTGGACAAAGCACACCTCTAATCCGGAGACTCTCAGCTGCTGGTGATGGTGGTCCTGAGGAGCAGCCACTGTCCATGCCTCTGCAGTGCTCTAGAGACCTCCCACACGGTGAGCTGCGGGTGGACTCTCGGCTTTCATTAGACTGTCACCGTGGTCTATAACCAACTGGTTGAAAGGCCCTCCAGGGAATCTTGAAAACAACGGTGGGAAGTAGTGTAGACACAAAATGTGCACACGACCCGTATGAACAGTAACGCATGCACCTAACTTCTGTAGGTGGAGGGTGCCCACACCTCCTGGTCCAGGATCTAAATCACAAGCCAACTGGAAGGATGTTGAACTGAGTGCAGCAGCAGGTGGGGCAGTATCAGTGCACTAATAAATTCTAAGAAGCAGACAAGACGAAAAATCCACAGCCTTAGAATCCATGCACCAAGCATGGCTGAAGGGCTCCACAGACTTCAAAGAGCTGCAGGACAGAAGGAACACAGAGGGCTGCTAGGAAGTGGAGGTCCCAAGGAACCCAGGCCTGCACCAGGGATGCTGCAACCACGACTGCAGAGGAGCATGTGGGCCCTCTCGGACGGAATAAAGGCCTGCATGGGGCCTTCAGATAGGCGATACAGGTAGGTAGGAGTCCTAGTCCTTCTAGGAGAGCTGGTCAGGACACGTGAACAGAGGAGGACCACGGGGGAGACAGGGAGAAGATGGCATCTACACCAACCAAACCAAGCCTGCTGACACCTCATCTCGGACTTCCAGCCTCCAGGACTATGAGGAGAAATGTCATCCACAACCCAGCTATAGAACTGTGTTACTGCGGCCCCAGCCGACTCATAACCGCTGAGAAACATGTTCCAAAACGACTGAAACAAACTCTACCAAGCACAGCCAGTGAAATACAGAGACTCTTTATGAAGCTGCAGCCTCCACCATTGCCACCTCAAAACTGTAACTGAGAGGGCCAGGGCTTTAGCCTAGTGAAGCCACACTTGCCTGCAAGCATAAGGTCATGAGTTTGGTGCCCGGTATCGAAAAACAACAACAACAACAACAAAATGTGATTGAATTATCTGCATTTCAAGCCTGTGGCAGGCCAGGGTGGACAGCTGATCACGTGGAATTTCTGCTGCCCCTGCACCTGTGGCCTGGGCTGACTCCCCACAGGCAGAGGTGGGCCCCAAACCACACCCTGGGAAACAACGTGCACCGCACAGGAAGGGGGCTCCCTTGCAGGCAGGGCTGCTTTCAAGCCAGGCTCACCTCAGTGCACACTGCACACCCGTCTCATCCCCGTAGGCCGAATATAGCAGCTCCATCTCATCTGACTTCAAGTCACCAAACACAGAGTTATTCTGCATGGAGAGGCCAGTGGTGGCGCTGGAGAGGAACGTGACTAAGGAGGAGAAAACAAGGGGCACCATTTCAGGCTCAGGCACCCAGCATGGCCACGCGCAGTTCTCTCTGGTTCCCCTTTCCCTGTCTCCCTGTCTCCCTGTCTCCATGAAGCACTCCCAGTGCCCCCTGGCAGACACTGTGGGAACTGAGCCTAACAGGGCTGGTTCTGCCCAGGGACATGGAAATGAATCCACTTAATAGGAGGCCCAAACACGGGAGAATTTCAACACCCACAGCAAGAGAAGAGGGTCCTAGAAAGACACTCAAGCCCAGGCCACGGCTATCCTATCTCGGGAGAGATGGCACATTTCCAGGGACCTGCCTGAGTGGGTTGACCCTCAGCTAACCCTCCGGGGCACCCCACCACAGCACAGGCAGGGGCCTACAGGGAGTGACAGACAGAAGACAGGGAAAGGATGAGGACACATCCTGATCCCCAGGAAGGGTGTTCTGAAAAAGCTCCAGGGACAGTAAACCCGAAGAAATGCTAAATCCAGGGGGTGTGAATCCAAGTGCTCATTGTAGGTTTCTAACACATTTCTGCACCTTAAGTAAAGTTAGAGAAGACTTCACTGAAGCACATCCAGATCTGAGCCCGGATGGCTACATGGCCTCCAAGAGAAGAAGAAATGTTCCTCCCAGGGAGGGCGGGCCAAGGAGCAACTGCCTGGTGCCTCTCACAACGTGTGCACTGAAGCACACACTCGCACCCAGAAAGCTTACCACAAGCACATACAGGAAAACATGAGGCCTCAAACCAAGCGGGGACACGCATGTGTGGATGAAATATACATGGGTAAAAGCGAAGAGCGAAGAAAGAACTCACTCGATGTAACTTTTATTCCCATTACTTTAACCAGTCTTAATTTTAAAACCTGAATCCAGACACGGCGACAAAACCATGTGAGGAAACTCTTGAAGGGACTGGCGATTTCAGCACCTGCCACATCAGCCAGGTCCCGCCAGCCTTTGACTCCAGGGGCTCTACAGGGTCCCCACATTTACCTTTGTTTCTCCTCTCGTCTTTGAAGCCCAGTGTCGTGAAGCCCGGGAGCAGCTTACTGGAGAGTGAACTCAGGTCCACAGGGTGCGTCTCCTCTTCTACAGGGCACATGAGAGGTGTGAGGGGTCACCTCCCTCTGCAGCACAAGGACCAGCGGGATAGGGACGGAGACACTAGAACCACCATCTAAGAAGCAGCTTACAAAGGGGAGCCAGCATCCCTCAAGGGACTTACACCAATTTCACTTCCTAAGTAGCCAAGGTCCCTAAAGTGAAAACATGCCACGTCTCTGGCCGTCACATCCACAGTGTCTAACACTTCCAAACTGCGGCTCCACACCTAGAGGGGACCTAGCCTGCCAGGCATCCCACTGTCTGCCTGTCCGCCCCACTGCAGGCCTGCTACACTATCACACAACGAGCTCCCAGGGACCTCAACTCCACATCGTCTCTCTCTAACCTGAGAGCTGATCGCCTCGTCTCTATGGAGAACACACTGCATTCGTGCTAACAGTGACACGCAGGAGACCGTGAAAGGAAGGCTGGGAGGAAAGGGAGCCGCCCACCTCTCGGTGAGACGCTGGCAAAGCAGGAAGCCTCAGCAGCCTTGTCAGTGCCTCTTCCTGCCTGCCTGAGGGTGCCTGTGGGTGCACCTCAGTCCCATAGGCCGCACGTGAGGTCGGCCTCCATCCTCTCTGAGTGATGCTGCCTGTGGCAGTGCTTCTTCCAACCAATGACCTCCCGCAGCATTCCCACCACCATCACCCCAGCAGCCCCCAGGGTGTAGCCTTCAGCCTGCAGCTGTACTGATGCCCCGTGCACCTCGCCTGCAGGCTCTACACACATGGGGTGCTGGCAAGGGCACACACAGGAGGCTGCAGGGCTGCTCTGCTGTCCTTCACGGTGGTGTGGGTGTATGAACAGGTCTCTGGCTGTGAGGTGAGAGGTAGCCTGCAGGCAGCAGAGAGGCAGCGGGGCGGGCACTCACCATCGGCATCAGGCTCGGCCACATTCACCACACTGTACAGCAGGCTTCCGTCGCCCAGCTTCTTCAGGTAGCCCATCTGTAAGGGAGTTGCACGCTGAGCAGGCCCTCTGTGAGCCAGCCCAGAGCCTCCTCCTCACATGGACCCTAGACTGAGCCTGTCTGCCACACAGTGTGCAGTGAGAGCACTGCTCAGGACATCGGACCTTCCACATGGTGCTTCTGAAACAGCACCCTGCTAACTTGCTAAGCCCAACCAAAGCGAGCTGGGCAAGCCCACCAGTGGACAGCATGGTACACCACTGACCAGCCTGCAGGCCGCCAAACACCTGCCACTGAGAAGACCCCAGGAGAAGAGGCACCCACGTAGGGAGGGACACGAAGGACTGCATGTGTGGGGCAGAAGGCAGGCTGCTCGTGGGGAGAGCAGCTGTGACATGGTACACACGAAGGCCTAGACACATGGGGAGGTGCTGCACTCCTGCAAAGGGAGCTTGGCCTACAGGGAGCCTGGAGGGCAGGGCTTCCACCAAGTAGTGGGGTGACAAGTCAGTGAGCATGTGGCCCTGACCATGTGCAGAATTCAGGGAGGACACAGCGCACAACACTCATTGTGGCCCTGCCAGCGGATGCCACAGCCCCCACTGAGGAAATGGGACCAAGAACCCGAAGGAGCCAGCCTGGCCCCTGGCCTGAGGCCACTGTGGTGTTCCAAGCAGGTCCTACAATGCCGTGGTGGTAAGCAGACTGATGCCTGTGCCTGGTGACAGAGCCACATGCATGCTTGCGGCCAAGTGGCTACCTTGCCTCCTGGCAGGAACCTGTTGATCCTGTCTCGCGCCTCATCGGCTGCATGCTCCACTAGCGCCAGGACGTGCTCCTCCGCAGTGCTGTCCGTCAGGCTGCAGGCATTCCCTTCTGGCTCAAACACGCAGCTGCAAGGCAGGGACTGGGCGTCACTCGGGGCACAGCCCTGTGCCACAGGTCAGTCCCCAGCCTGGCTTCTCCCCACGCTCCCCACACATGTCCCGCAGCGATGTGGGGTGCACCGTGACACCTCTGATCGCAGCAACAGCCTGCCTTCTTGGAATGAAGAGTCAGTACGGGCCAGCACCCTCCTAACTGCCACACCTCATCTAACACTTTCATTGCCATGAGAACAAAAGAAGTGATGGACACTGCATGGTGCAGGCATCAAAGCTCCCCTCAGGAGAGGCGGCAGGACACCCCTTACAGGTTGGGCAAGGCTCAGCAGTTGCCCCAGGATCTGCACAGAGCATTTCACTCCAACAGTCAAGGACTTCTGGGCACAGTGCCAGAGGAGATGCCTGCCTCCTACGGAAGGCAGAGGGGGGGCAGCCCCTCCCTGCCCTGGGACAGGCCCTGCCCCGAGCGCCCTGCCAGGTCACCCCACAGTGACACCCAGGAAATCTGCACGGTAAGAGGGTGTTGTAAGCCATGGCTCAGGGAACCTCAGCCCTGGGGCTGAACATGTGTGGCCCATGATACAACAATGTGGGGTGAACATCAGTCCTAAGGCCCAGACTGAGATTTGGAGACTCAGAATAAACACTGCAGCTCTGTTGCTGCCTTCATGCACTAGATGGCAAGACTCTCTCTGCAGGTCAGGGGACCAAGAGGACCAGGAAGGCCACTGCCTTCCATGTCCGTTGGTGCTCTAGTTGCCATGACAGTGGCAGGACAAAGCAGCAGCATGTGGTGGGTGTCCAGACCACTGTACCAAACTGTCTGCAGGCACCTCTGGGTGAGATGCTGACAGGGCCATGCAGCATGGTCCCCGTGGTCACTGGGCTGGACAGCTGCTGGTCTGGGAAGGCATTCCGGCCCAGGCCGCACGCAGGTCTTCCTCACCCCCCCCTCAACAAAGCTCCCGTTTCCCTGTGCAGCACGCCTCCCACACACCTTACCTGATGACTTCTCTACTCGGCTTTTTGGATTTCTTGGCAGTTTCTACTTGCACTGGGACAACCTCAGGAACAGGCTCCTCAACGGCCATGTCCTCGCTGCCCAAGAGAGCCGCCTGCTGAGAGAAATCCATGTCCTGCATAAACGACATGCTGCGCTTCAGAGCTAACAGCCGCTCCTAGAATCAGAAAGGAAGAGCAGCAGGACTTTACCTCTCCCTCAGCCACGGAGCCTGACGATGGCATGGGATGGATGGCCACGCCTCCCCCACCCAACCTAGTGCCCAGGCGCTGCTGCAGGCTGCTGTGGGGCTTGGTGCCGAAGGCACAGCCCAGAGCTGGTGGAGGGGGCAACCAGAGCACAGCAGGTGCCTGCATGTGCAGGGGCTGCATGCTTCTGGCTCACAGCAGACCGGGAGCCACTCAAGTCAGCCAGGAAGACAAGCACGTGCCACCTGGGTTCCCGGAGGTTGCCATGAAACAAACTCGCAGGACAGGCTGCGACCCAGTGAGCATGACCCCCAGACCTAGTACTTTCCAGTCCCACGGGAGGCAGCGCGTGAGTCACAGGTAGGGGCAGGGGGCAGCGACTGAGGAGAGGGCAGCCCCGGACCAGAAGGTCAGCCCAGGGCGTGGCATGGATGGCGCATGTCATTCACGTGAGTCTGATGGGCACAGAAAGTTAGAACACAGCTCTGGTTCTTGGCTCACTGTGTTAGCGGCTTTCTTACTTTGCTCATCATCTTAAAGCCCGCGTGGAGGATCTTCTTGGCTAACTTGTAGTATACAGTGTCTGGTCTATTGTAGGTCATTGCATTGTCACACATCAGTTTGAAATCTGCCTGAGAAGAAACAGAGGGATTTTCGTCAAGTTTGAGATGCCACACAGACAACAGCAGAGTTCTCTGCTCCTGTCAAGAGGCCAAAAGGGAAAGGCTGAAATTAAGTGGAAAAGAAACTTGGTCTTTGCTCTAAAAGGAACTTTTAAGAACACTGAGATTTTGAAGCTGTTCACGGGTCAATTGTGTGAAAAGTTTTCTGGGAAAGGCTGGCCAAAGTCTCGGGGTTTGGGGCGTAACACACACATTTATGAGAAAATGTATCTATCCCGTGCTCCCTCCCTCCACAAGCTCCCTCTCGCTTCAGCAGGGACTCAGACACAACAGGAATAACAAGTAACACATCTGGGGTGTCCTCTGCCTCTGTGGTTTTTCCATCCAGAAATTAAATTTCTGTCAACAGAAAAATACTTTCTTGAAAATAAGGACAACCTTACTTACAATTTAGAGAAAAAGTGAATTCCTTGAGAAACACTACTACTTAATTATCACAAATTTCTCAGCAGATGCCTCCAACAGGCGAGCTGGGAATCGGGATGGAGATGCAGGCCCCATTTGCGAGTGCCCTTGCCACGTCTCTGCTCTGGGCCCCACAGGGCAGGCTGAGGCCGCGGAGCACAGGTCCCTCTCTGGTTGTGGTTATGTGATGGAGGGGACACTGCTCACCTCAAGGGTCTGCCACTCAGAGTGACACGTAGGGGCCACAGCTAGGAAACTGAGGACCTGGGCGCAAACTGCTTAACAACCTACCCTCTGGTTGTGCCTGGCTCTTCTAAGGAGTGCGCCTCTCCCCCACACTCCCTTAGGCTGCCATGTTATTTCTGAGTCTCCACTAAACATGAACAGAAAGACAAGCTTTTCCAGAATCACTCAACCCAAGAAAGAAAACTCATGCCCCTCCTAATACTAAGGTCAACATCACCAAGAATTCCTTCTGCCTTGCGCCCTGCTGCCAAGCCAGTAAGCAATTTCTAATTCGCCTGGCCAGAACCAAGAAGAGAGTTGAAAGTGAACCAAGAGATACAAATACTCAAAAAATAATAAAATTAAATGCCTAATTTTTACAAAACAAGCTAAAAATCAGGAAAACCATGCTCTAAAAATATCCACTCTTGAGTTAGGCCAAACTGGATACATCACTGAATGATCTACACCAGCACAGTAACTTTAAAAACAAGAAAAGAGGAAACTCATTTGTGAGAGCATACAGCATGTAGTCTAGCTTCTAGATGGAAACACAGAGAAAATGTTTTCAACCAACCAGTATCCTTGACAACAGAGTTCGTGAACCATCACCCAAACAAAGAGCTGCCATCCATGAGTGCTTACAACTGCAAACAATCTGAGGTGAAGGAAATGTTTACCACACACACACACAGCTTTGTCACAACTGTTTCAGAAAATGAAATTAATTTACCTTAAATTCTGTGACTGATTTGTATTCATTAGCTATGATTTTGTCTTTCATTGTGCCAAAGTCCATCGGATGTTTTATTATCATTGAATATCCAGGAGCAATCGCATCCGTCACAGGAAAAGCAAAAAATCCATGAGGGTCTTTTCTGAAAGCAAAGACAACTTTAAAGTGGGAAATTCTAAAGTCTAGATTTTGAAGTGACACAAAATTCCTTACAATCTAAAATTTAATACAACTGACCAAGTTTTAATTTTGTTTCTTAAAAGTAAAAAATAACAAAATGAATGCCTTTTAATGTTGCTGTAGGTGTTCAGATCTGATAAATATCCCACCACCAGTGTCCGAGCTCTAGCCCTGATAAGCAAGGCCAAGACAACTCTGACATCTGGCTCATCCCACTGTGGATGACATCCAGGGCAGAGCTGAGGAGTCCATGGCCCCTTTGCCTGCCCCAGCCAGGAAGTTCTGGCTTTTGCTTCATAGTGCTTGCCCACCCCCAAGTGAATGGCTGCTAACTACTCAAGATGAAGCCTGCGTCCCAGGTGATGGGCTGGGGTGGGAGTAACACCTCAGAAAGGAAGGTGGCGCCTCACAGGTCCCCAGAAAGGCCCTTCCAAACACCGAGGTGAGGCGTACCTCTGAAGCTGGCGGAGGAAGTGCTCCAAGAGCTGCTGAATAGGCGTGCTCTCATTCTCAGCTAGCAAATTAAAAAGAAAGCAAACAATCAAAGTTCAACAGATTCCAGCATCACTTTATTAAAGAATCTCAATTTCAATTCTTAGTTACATCTGGCATTCCACAGCACTGTATGCCCAAGCAAGAACTGAAGACACGAAGCTATACCCACAACATGGCTCCCATGAAGCTTGGTGGGTGGGAGAGGATCCACATCAGTCCAAAAGGCCCTCAATTCAGTCTCATGGAGCTGCTACTCATCAAGCTGTTCTCAGCTCCCACCACCATTAGGCTAGGTACATTCTAGAAAAGGTACAGCAGGAACAAAGGCTTGGACACAGGCTGACCCTGGATTCCCTTGTTGTTATTTATTTACTAGACTGCTCACCCTGGTTATGCCTCTGGTCTTATCTGCAGAATGGAGATGCACAGAAACACCACACAGGCGCTCTTCTGACAGCTGCAGCTGTCAACTTCATCTCCAGGCCCACCATCAGCCTGACAGTGATAATCCTGATTGACCAGGGTCTGCCCCAAACCACCACAGCCACCACTAACTCTGAGGTATCCCAGGGGTCTGAGATGGATGCAGAACATCAAACAGGCAGTTAAGCAGATCAAACTGGCAATTTTCAGCAACCGTGCTGACTTTTCAGACAGGTCTGTCTGACTCTTGTTTCGCGTCTGACCTTCCTTATCCACAGGCCCAGGATCTACCCACTGAGTGCTGCTATTCACCATGCCAATGATCTTCACGGGGAGAGGAGGCACTAGGCAATGGCACTCCTCCCCACAGGTCAGCAGCAGCAGCACCTACCAGCAGCCCCTGTAAATCAGAGGGGGCCAAGCCCACAGGCAAAAGAAGATACTCTGAAAAGTGGCCACAGAGACCCAGAAGTTATGAGCACTGCAAGACTTCCCTTGGGTGACCCAGCACATGCACATAGTTTCTGGTGGCAGGGATAACCAATTCCAGCTCTAGCCTCCCTCTGGCCTGTCCCTGATGTCGTACATTCCAACCCCCAGCTGTCTTGGTTTTCCTGCCACCTAAGAGCCAAGAGACACTGCAGATCCCTAGGGGGAGACAGGATTTGTCCTAAGCACAAAGCCTTGGCAGGGTAGATCCTACATAGGAAGACTGGGGCCAGCAAGTCGTGGGCAACACTGCCAGTGGAAACTCTAGCCAAACACCATGGCAGCAGGTACCTGGGAGAGAAATCTCACTAGGGACCTATTGTCACTTGAAAGGATTCCAGATCCCTGCTCTAGACAAGAGAGGAACCCCAGGTCCAGGGGACACTGGTGCAGGAAGAGAGATGGCCCAGGCAATGGACCCCAGTGCCGTGCATGTCTGGGACCAGGGCAGGCTCTTGCCTGGCTGTGTCCGGCATGCTCGCACTGGCCGGTCTGGGGGCGGCTCCACCTCCACCTTCTTCCCAGGGTCGAAGTCTTCAGCCTCTCCTTCTGTGTCACAGTGCTCTTTCTCTCGCTTGCGCTTCTTCTCTTCCTGCGGAGTCAGAGGAGTGAGAGGCAGAGCAGCTGGGGTACACCTAGACTGGACAGCATCCCTCTGCTGCCTTGCAGTCTTCCCTCTTGGGAGCCCTTCTGGGGTGCACCACACAGGACAGCGCCCCCCTGCCATTCCGAAGCCTCTTCTTCGGATCCTCTGCTTCTGGATCCCCACCGAAGGGACAGCCACAGGCAAACTGAGACCCTGGCCAGGTGGCCGCTGTTCTCCTTACTTTCCGCTTCCTCCTCTCCTCGTCATCGAGGTGCTTCTCCTTCTCCGCCTTCTTTTTCTTTTTCTTCTTCTTTTCCCGGTGTCTCTCCCGTTCGTGGTCCGACCTGTCGTCGTAGTAGCTGGAGTCGTGGCCGGACCCTGAGAGCTCGGTCACCTCACTGCCCCCGACCTTAAGCACCAGCTTCAGCGGCTTCTCCAGCGGCGCGTCCGCGTAATCTGCGAACAGACAGAAGCACTGCATCTTTCGGGGCTATGCGGACCCCGCGGAGGACAGGCGCCGACGGCCGGTGCTGGGGACGGCCGGTGCTGGGGCGGGAGTCTTCAACCGAGCCCGCCCCAGCCTCGGACCCCGCCCGCCCCCCAGGCCTGCCCCCCGGCTCCGGTCGCCGCACCCTCGTAAGACGAACGCCACTCGGCTTTGTGCTTCTTGTGCTTCTTTCCCATGGCTGCGACGGCAGGCGAAGACCACAGACCCAAGGAAGCGCCGCATCCGGAAGCCCGGCCTGCGCCTGCCGGAAATGGCCGAGCCGCCGCCGAGTACTTCCGGCTCGGGGAAGCGGCGCAGCGAGAGCTTCCGGGTCAGAGGGCGGTGCGCCGCGCGCGGCAGATTCGAAGCGCTGTCGGGCGGGGTGGCCCCGAGTTTAGGGGCCGGGCGGGCCAACAGGGTCCTGCAGCCAGGTCCCCGCGGATCCCGGAGCCGCGGCGGCGACATGGACGAGGCGGTGGGCGACCTGAAGCAGGCGCTGCCGTGTGTAGCTGAGGCGCCCGCCGTGCACGTGGAGGTGCTGCAGCGCGGCGGCAGGTGAGCGGAGCGGCCCGGGCGTGGACCCCGGGACCTCACGCGGCCGAGGCTGACTGGGAACAGAGCCCAGCGGTCAGGGTCAGAGTTAGAGGGGCCGCGGGCGGGAGTGTGGGGGTTGGGGGAGCTGCTGCCAGGGCTCTGGAGCCGGCTGCGGGCTGGAAGGGACCTGGGCTTGGGAGCCGCAGTGCCGGCCACAGCCCTGGTTGACTAGGGGCGGGCTCTTGTTCAGTGTTAATAAATAAACACCGGATGTGTGCATTCAGCCTCACCATAGCCCAAGAGAGCAAGAATCCGAGCGTCCCGCCTCTCCAGTGGCGAAAGGAGGGGACTTCCGGAGGGTGCAGAGCTGGTGGTGGGACTACATTGGATCCCTGGGTGGGCACATGATCTGCCTATCCTTAGCTCATGAATTTCTTGAGTATGGTCTCAATTTGTTTTTGTTTTTGTTTTGTTTTTTAACTTAGGTCTTTTCTGTGTATTTTGTGTTTTCATAGCACTGCAAAAAAAGAAGACATAAAATTGAATGTTCGAAAGTTGCTCAACAGGCATAATATTGTGTTTGGTGATTACTCATGGACGGAGTTTGATGAACCTTTTCTGACTAGAAATGTACAGTCTGTGTCTATTGTTGACACAGACCTAAAGATTAAAGATCCTCAGGTAACTTACTGATTTGAAGTACTGGTGACAGTTCACCCCAGCTGATACAGAGCTGGTATCATGACTGTCTGCTGTCTGTTATTTGCTTATCTTTTGGTTTGGATGCAGACAAGTTCTGGCTGTCTGTCCTGGAGCTGGGTGCTGGCATGAGACTCGGCCCAAGTGTCAGGATGCTCCGAGTGAGCAGAGGACAGACTGGAACCCAGGAGTTGGAAAGCTGCACATAGAGTAGTGGGCTGTGTTGTTGAGGTCTGTGCGCCTGTCTCTGACTCTGTCGGCTAAGTGGTCCTGAAGTGCTTGGAGCATCTGTTAGGGCTGCAGGAAGTGTGCAGGTCACAGAGGGGAGATGGGCTCCCTGTCTGGAAACTTTTGCTTCCTGAGCATGGACTGTCTGCCCCACCATCTTAGCCCATGTGGGGGAACAGGGGTGCTCTGTGAGCTGGGTGCCTGGGGACCATTCTGTTACCAGCACAAGAATAACTAGAAATGTGTCCTGAGGGAAGAGCATCACTCAGCACCGTATGAATTGCCACTTTAAACAGTGGGCTTGGCCCTGAAATTTTGCATATGACGTGTACTTTATACATTTTTTAAGACTAAGAGTTGATGCTATGGTCCTTGGTTTTGGCCCACCTGAATTGAAAGGAAAAGCTCTCCAGATTAGCATAACCTGACTAGAGGGTTTAGGGGTAGCCATGACATTTTTTTTTTTGATACCAGTCATCGAACTTGGGTCCTTGCGCCTGCATAGCAGGCGGCAAAACCACTGAGCTAAATCCCCGGCCCCCTGCGAAAACTAATAATCTCATTTTGACTGCAGATTCACTCATCGGAATTTATCTTAACTAATATGCAGTTCTGTAGATGTATACAGACAAATATTTGTTCCATATTGTTAGCACCTATAATTTGAAATACTTTGCCACCTTCTACCAACCAGAAATTGGCCAAATAAATTTGATACATTTACATTAAACAGGATGTAGGCATTAAAAGAAGAACTAGATTTCCATCTACTGATAGAAGTATGTTTCCAAGCTGTATTAAGAGGGAAAAGGCACAGTCAGAAAACTACATGTGTTCCCATTCCCCATTAGTCCACTAATCTGCTTTGATACCATCTTGGAGCTGAATCATGGAGAAAACAGTCTGTCCAACAAAGTTATTCAAAATCTCTCAAATTCTGTGCCTGAATATTTTGGACATCGATTAAAGGAACCAGCTCAGTTATGTGACACCACCATGTGTACACATAAGCTACCTGTGTATTCTGTCACCCCAAACTTCTTCCTTTGATGGCTACTTGAGTCACCCCAATGGAAACCAAATACCTTGTAGTAAAACAAATGTTTCTCTTTGTCAACTCCCAGCCCAACAGGGTTTTTTTCCTCCTATTCCCTGTCTCTCTGTGCCTTAATGTCAAAGGAGTTCTGACCACTATCTGGCACTTACAGAGTTCTCAGAAAAGACCCAGACACGCAGCCATTCTTCATCCTGTAGACTTAGGATCCAGTCACAGGGGAAAAAACAGTCATTTGAACAAGAAATAGCCAGTATGGTGAATTATTAACTAAACCTGAAAATTCAAATAAGACTTGGCTAGTACAAAAGGAAGATAACTTTGAAGAATATATAGTAATATCAGAATCATGATAGCAGATACAGCATTATGTAAAATTATATGTAGGGCCCACTAACATTCAGGGAACATGATTTTCCTCAGTTCTGATGTCCAATTTTTGGTTACCTTTTCTCATTCGTGTTATTTTCTAGTTCTTGGGGTGGCAGGTAGTGTTCTACTAAATCTTTTTGTTGTTTTTGGTACTGGGGATTGAACTCGGGACCTTGCACTTTTGAGTCAGGCACCGGAACCACTGAGCTAAATCCCTGGTCCTCTACTAAATCTTAAGTATTTGTGGAGAGCCTGGTGAATATCTGTGTTCAGCATCCCACAGGGTCTCGCTGATAACACACAGGCAAAAGGGAGGTGCAGACTCACTAGACTTCAGAGACGTGTGGGGAACAAATGGGCATCATCCTACCCTGGGAGTGGGAGTGCAGCTCCCATCAGGCTTGTGGTTGCTGAGGGAAGGGAGCAAACAGCATTTCAGGTTGCTGTTGCTGCTTGGTAAGGTGGAAGCTCAGCACCCCATGGGCCCCAGTGTCCCACAGCAGGAGGAGAGCAGGGTACCCCCTTTACCTGACCTCTGCCTTGTGCTGCCTTATTGGTGTTAAGTTAGTGGAGACTCAACTCCTCATTGGGTAGGACCCTGATGTTCTCCAGTAAGAGAGATCTTGGTTTCTTATGTACGTGATTATATCCATAGCTGGGCAGGCAAGTTACTGGATCATCTCGTAGTACCAGCAAGTTATGAATGCTCAGAAACACTAAAAGGATAAGGACATGTCAGATGGAAACAGGAGCTAACCTGAATTAATGCCAAGTGGACAAAATCTGAAATAATCGTACCAACAAAAAGGATATTTAGTATTAGATCATAACCTAACTATGTCTCAGTCCATAGTGATACAAGGAAGTGATTAAGTAAATGGGGGGGGGTCTTTATAGGATATTTGCAGATTATGTATGTAGGTCTCCTCACAAGGTAGCATCTGATCTCCCCCGACCAGTCCTGAGGTGTGGACCGCACTATTCCACTTCCAAACAATAAACTATGGAAAAGGAATGATGTATGACTTCCCAGTAAAAAAATCTCACAGTCCTCCCATAACCAAGTGATTGAGGCTAAAATTATCAGTTGTGTGGTGTGTATCTTGTACTGCTGATCCAAGGTGAGGAGGGGCCTTCACCTCTGCATTGAAACTCAGTATCCTAGTCTGATTTTGAGAAAAATGAAAACAAAACATTTGATGGTTCCAAACTGGAGGACAGTTAAAAAAAACCAACTGCAAAAAAAGAAATGGGAAACTACAAGATGTGATTGACAAATACGGTCACTGATGACTCATTTTTGGCTATGAATCAACCATACTTTTGGATTTTAGCATCTAATTAGTTGGAATTGAAAAGGAAGAGATTTTGAGGTGTGTTGATTTACTTGCCTTCTCTCTCATTCACAGCCCATTGATTTGAGTGCCTGCACTGTTGCTCTGCATGTCTTCCAGCTGAATGAAGATGGCCCTAGTAGTGAGAATCTGGAGGAGGAGTCAGAAAACATAGTCGCAGCAAATCACTGGGTTCTGCCTGCAGGTACAGGGCCAGATGGGTGTGGAGCCACCGAGAAGGGCCAGGGTCAGAGGGTTGTACACTCTTGGGTTTGCCAAGTCGCTGAGGAGATTCTGTCTGTTTTGTACAGTTCTAGGATGTTTTATCTTTTATGAGATGAAAAGTATATTGCTATTAGCTTTCTGTGACCATAACAAATGCTTGGGATGATCAGCTTACAGATGGTTTAATGCTTGGTTGCCTGTTGCTTAGGGTCTGTTCCTAGGTAGCATATCCTGGCCAGGCACATGGCAGAGGTGCGTTCACTTCATGGCCAGGTGGAAAGGACAACAGGGGACTCATGTCCCACTATGCCTGGTGAAGCCACAGCCCATGACCCAAGACCTTCCACTTGGCCCCGCCTCTTAAAGCTCCCATCTCCACCCGATGGTGACTGGTGACAAGTAGAGGCCAGACATTTAATACATGGCCTTGGGGCACAGTCTGTATCCACATACAGCAGGTTCACAGTAAGGAAATGGAGCCTTCCAGGATGAGTGTCATACCTATGTGGGCACCTCTCTCTTCTTTGGCTTTTGCTTTTTCCTATTTTTTGGCAGTATTGGAGATTGAGCCCAGGGCCTTTGTGGTAAGCTAAAGAGTGAGCTACATTCCCAGTCTTTTTTGATTTTCTTTTTAGTTTTTTGAGACAGGGTCTTGCTATGTAGTTCAGGTTGGCCTTGAACTTACTATGTAGCCCAGGCTGGCCTCCAACTTGCGGCTATCTTCCTGCCTCAGTCTCTCAAGTGCTGGGATTACCGGCATGTGCTACCACGCCCAGCCTCTAGATATAGGACACCCTCACGAGTGAAGTGTAGGTGCTCAAAGAAATGAGGCACCAGCCATTTGGTTTTTTTTATTTTTTATTTTTTTTTAGTTCTTTTATTGGTACATTTTAGGTATACAGTTCATTTCCATTTATCATTGGGTGTTTGTACCTGTACATGATGTATCTTTGTTCTTATTTATTCCCCATTACCTGTGCACCTTTCACCCCCTCCACCCTTCCCTATTTACATAGACTTCGTTTCCTTTTTTTTTTTTTTTCTTTTCTCATAGTTTTTCCTTTCCCTCTTTTCCTTTCCTCTTCCCCTCCCTTCACCTCTTCGTCTTTGGACCTTTTTTCCTATTTCAAATTATCAATTATTCATTTTAATCATTTTAACCCTTGTTTACACTTTCAGTTTCTCACACTAGAGAAACTATTCGGTATTTACACATGGGTGTCCTATTTATTTCACTTAAGAGTATGGCCTCAATATGCATCCATTAGCTATAAATGACTCCAGTTTCTCATTCTTTAAGGCTGAGTAGTACTCCATTTTATAAAAAAACATATCTTCTTTATCTAGTTTCCAGTTAATGGACACTTGGGCTGTTTCCAAGCTCTAGCTATTACAAACTGTGCAGCTTATAAATATGGGTGTGCATATATCACTGTGGTATGATTCTTTTAATTCTTTGGGGAAGATGACCAGCAGGGGACTATCTGGGTCAAATGGGACCTCTAGTCCTAGTTCTTTGAGGTATCTCCATACTGATTTCCACAGTGGTTGCACCAGTCTGCACTCCCACCAACAATGGAGAAGGGTTCCTTTCTCTCCACACCCCCGCCAGCATTTGTTATTGGTTGATTTCTTGATAGCAGCCATTCTTTGTGGGGTGAAGTAGAATCTCAGTGTTGTTTTCATCTGCATCTCTCGAATGACCAGTGATGTTGAATATTTTGTCATATATTTATTTGCTGCTTTTACTTCTTTGTCTGAGAAATGTCTGTTCATTTCAGATGCCCATTTTTGAATTGGGTCTTTGAATTTGGGGGGGTCTGATTTTTTTCAGTTCTTTATATATTCTAGATAGCAGTCCTTTGTCTGAAGTAGAGCTGCTAAATATTTCTTCCAGCATTGTAGGTTGTCTGTTAGGTCTGTTGGTGGTTTCTCTTGCAGTTGGCACCAGCCATTTAAAAATAATTTTTTTGAGCTAGGGTCTCCCTGAGTTGCTGAGCTCCCCAAGCCAGGCTTGGACTTGCGGTCCTCCTGCCTGGGCCTCCCAGGGTGCTGGGATCATGGCAGGGACTGCCATGCTCAGCCCCTCCTGCTTTCTCCATGCTTCTTCGGGGGCTTTGCTGATGGGCTCTAGCTGGTGCAGGTTGGGGTTAATTCTGCTGTCAGGGTCCATGTCTGCCATGCCAACAGCTAGATTTAGCCTGCCACATGGGGAGAGCTCTGTTAAGGCACAGGCCTGGTATAGAAAATTGTGCATGATAAGAAGACATGAGAAAAGTTATTTTACTCTTAGTTAACTGTCAGAATGTCATGTGACTAGAACTTTAAGTTTAAGAAACACTAATATTTGAAGGCAAATGTACAACTGTGCTTATGCTGTGTCAGAACCACTGTCTACCATGTGGGTGGTGGGTGACACAGACCCCCTGGGTGAGTGTGATGTCTGTCTTCCTAAAACTAGGGCTTTCTTTTTCCTTTCCTCATAGCTGAATTCCATGGGCTTTGGGAAAGCCTAGTGTATGACGTGGAAGTCAAATCACATGTAAGTTCCTGTGGTTCTTCTGAAAATGTCCTGTTCATTGAAGAGACTCAGTCTTGTGCTCTGCAGTGCCTTCAAGCCCCTTGGCTCGGGAGCCTTTGGGACTTGGTCCGCCTGGGATCCCCGTCTCCCAGCGCTGCCTAGCACAGACCTGGTCTCGGGGAGGAGGGCAAGGGACAGGCTGGGGAGCCTCAGGGGAGCCAGAGGAGAGACAGTGGGCCAGGACCCCTGCACCTCACCCCCTCGGGGTGCGCCTGGAACCTGCCCCCACCTCCCGCTGCTCCCCAGAACCGTGACGGCAGGCCTGCTGTGTGCCTCCATGGCTCGGCTGGGGTTCTGGAGGAGGGGCTGCTCTGTGCCTGGGACCCTCTGGGACTTTGCTGAGTGTTGGTGTTTTAGGCGAAAGCAGCCATTTTGTCTCTCTTGCCTCTCAGTAGTAATAGCCGACGCTAACCCTCTTGCTTCTCCGAGTCGCCTTCTAAAATGAGAGCCTGGGAGGCAGTTGCCGAGCACCTGTCCCTCAGTAGCAAGCCCTAGCAGCACTGCCTTGGTGGCCTTCACCTGCTTTCTTTCTCTGCCAGCTCCTTGACTACGTGATGACGACCCTGCTGTTCTCAGACAAGAATGTGGACAGCAACCTCATCACCTGGAACCGAGTGGTGCTCCTGCACGGTGAGAACAGACACGAAATTCAGCTTTTCCTTTTGTCTTGTCCTTCCACAAGGAGCTTCAGCTCTGTTTTCTACAGGAGCCAGCATTGTCCCAGAACATCCCTTTCTGAAATGCTGATCCACGTCACAGGCCTTTGTCACTTGACCTTCCTTTGGCAGCTAGCTGATTTCTGCCCTGCAACTTTTTGTATTAAGTAATGGCATTATTTCACTAGCTGATGAGAATCCCTCAGGTAGAAACTGCTTTGTGTTTCTGCATAGTATTCCTGATCTTCACTTAGTGAGAGTGGACTGCAAAAGACATATTTTTTTTTGGTACTGGGGATCGAACTCGGGACCTTGTGCTTGCAAGGCAGGTGCCAGAACCACTGAGCTAAATCCCTGACCCCAAAAGCCTTTTGTTGGGGGGTACTGGGGATCAAACCCTGGTCCTTGTGCTTGTGAGGCAGGTGGTGGAACCACTGAGCTAAACCCCCAGCCGCAAAAGCCATATTTTAAAAGGAATTTAGTCAGGTTCTCTCAGGAGAAAATGGTGTTGGTTTGCCTTTGTTTCCATGCCACTGGGTAGAAAGGAGATGGGGACTGAATGAGATCACGAGAGTGCCCACGTTAAGGTGAGGCAGAAGCTCTGGGTAATTGAGCTTCATGATGGTCCCCAGCATGGCATCCTAGCAGCAAGGTCAGAGAGGACAGCCATAGGGATTTGCATTAATGAAAGGAACTGTTTGGAATCAGGTGCTTGTCTCCACTTTAGTTATTGAAAGTGCTGTGGAGCAGCAGACTCAGGCAATCTCCACGTTCCACCGATGCACTCAGTCTTCCCTGTGGGGCACCTCAGCTTCCTCGAGCCCGCGTCTGGGGACTGTGTAGTAAATGGGGAATGTACAGGGAGAGCCTGGCCTTAGCTGCAGTGCTAGTGAGCAGCAGCCTCCTGAGAAAATCTGCTTACCAAGAGAAATGGGCCATGTTGGCTCAGTCGCAGAGGTTTCGGTCCATGGCGGGTTGGTTCTGCTGCTTGTGGGTCTGTGACAGCACAGTAGGAGCACGTGGTGGGCGAGAGTCCCTGTGTCCCTGCCAAGAACCAAAAGAGTAACAAAGGGACTGGTGCCATGCTCCCCTTCATGAGCTTGCCCCCAAGACTTGAACCTCCCTCTGGGCCCTCACACGTGCCCCTTGGGGACAGTGCTGACCATGCTGTCTGACACAGCACAGGGTGCCACCCACTTAGGACCACCTGCAGGTAGAGATGGGGCTGCTGCAGGTTGCAGCAGCAGCAGCTTTGCTCAGTGGCATTCTCCACTGATGAAGGTGTCTGTGGCCTTCGAAAGGTGCCTAAGTAGGTAGGTTTCATAGAGGAAGTGGGACAAGGACCGTCAACAGGATGTAGACCAGAAAAATCGCTGCCTCCCAGAATGCTGAGCTGGGCTGCAGGCCAAGAAGCAGTGTGCTAGGGGAGGGGTCAGGAATATAAGAAGGGTCCAATTAGGAAGAAAGAGGACTTTCTAAAGTGTATTGATATTTCATGGCTCCTCTCGGACTTCTTTGTAGGTTCACAAGCAGTACCTGCTGTAAGAGCAATAGCTTTTAACTCTTCCTTATTTTATATTGTGGTTAAGCAACTACTGTTGTTCCAGCAAACTCACTACACTGGCTTAGAGACACCTTTGCCTGGCTCTTGTTACAGGTCCTCCAGGAACTGGGAAGACATCCCTGTGTAAAGCCTTAGCCCAGAAACTGACCATCAGACTGTCCAGCAGGTAACTGGTGACAGAGAGGACATTGTGGGAATGGGATTTGCAATGTGTGAAGCTTTCGCTTTTGATTGCTTTACATGAGTAGTGGATTCTTTTCTGCGTAGCGTGATCCTGAGTTTGATCTCAGGACTTGATCTCGGCCTTGATCTGTGGCAGCCTGCGTCCCAGTGATGTCCAGGCTCACTGACAAGAGGGTGGTGCATGGTACAGGTGCAGGTCCTGTGCATGATGGCCTTGCTGGTTTCTGTCCACTGTGCTTTTACTGGGTGAGGAGTGCTGGCCTCTCTTTGGACTGTCCATCCTTCCTTGAGTTCTTTCTGCGACTTCAGGTATCGGTTCTCATCATTTTGGAAAGTCATTGGTTGTTATTCTTCACTTGTTTCCCTACCCTCTCTTTTCCCTGGAACCTATTTATTGGCATGTGAGGTTGCTCTATCTTGTCCTACAAGGCACTGATGTGCTTTTTCATAAAATATCTGTGTTTCACTTTGAACAATGTCTGTTGCTGCATCTTCAATTCATCATTTTTCTGTAGTGTCTAATCTGCTTTTTTTTTCTTGAGACTGGGTCTTGCTAGGTTGTTCAGGCTGAGTTCGAACTCACAGTGATCCTCCTGCCTCAGCCTCCTGAGCGAGTGCTAGGATTGCAAGCATGTGCCACCAAGCCTGGCTTAATCTACTTTTTTTTTTCTTTTTGGTACCAGGAATTGAACTTGGGATCTTTAGCTTGTGAGACAGGCAGCGGAACCACTGAGCTAAATGCCCAGCCTGCTTAATCTACTTTTAATTCCATTCAGTGAAATTATTTTTCACTGAAAAAAAAAAGAAAGAAATTATTTTTGGTAGGATGTTTCTCTGAAGAGTCCATTTGGTTCTTTTTGTACCTTTCCTTTCTGCCTCCCTTATATTGTTAAAATGTGTGACAAGTTGAATGTTGTGGCCTGCCGCCTGTGTCATGTCATGATGTCTCTCTGTCTCCGCTGACTGGCTTATCTCTGGTTTGGAGTCACGTTTGTCTTAAACACTGAAGGTGGTGCTTTGAAGTGTATGAATGTCATGTCTTCCACAGTTCTTGGACCTTGTTTCTGTGCTGTTAGCCAGGGCTCTAGGGCTAGTCTTGTCTTCACACAGAGGGTGCTTGTCTGGGTCTGCATGGAGGACCTGGAATGACAAATCCGTATTCTCCATGGTGGCCGTGAGAGTCCCAGCCCTCGCAGCTCACAGATGTACAGAGCCTTTTTCTAGCTCCGGACTCTCCCTGCTCACTGGCCTTAGTGTTCAGCAGAGACACGGGACCATGCTACTTTCCAGGGAGGTTTTCCCCATCTCCCCTCTGGGACTCTGCCCTGCATTACCCAGCTACCTCCCTCTCTCTGAGCCTGGCCTGTTCCTTAGCTCAGCAGAGCAGTGCCACTGAGGGACGGTCCCTCCACACAGCCAGGGCAGTGGCCGGGCTCCCTGCTCCTCTCTCGGGGCTGGGGCCTCCACTGCCTGCAGACTGGTCCTGACCAGATGTGGCTTTGCCTTGTCCAGTTTTCTCATCTGAGGCTTTGGGTGGATCGAGGGCCTGATACTCTAGTACTAAGAGGACATCCTGAGATCTATTACATCTGTTTTATTTCTTTTCAAAAATGTCTTGAATTTTCACATGAGGAGACTGCTTTATTTTTATCTTTGTGTTTAGTGACTTGGCCTTTCTTTTGACTCACTGAAATGCATCTGTTTTAAAAATCTCTAGGGAGGGCTGGGGATTTAGCTCAGTGGCAGCGCACCTGCCTCGCAAGCACAAGGTCCTGAGTCTGTACCAAAAAACAAACAAACAAAAAAAAGATCTCTAGGGGCAGTTTCTTAAAACATCAGAGGGAAGAAATAAGAAGTACAACTTTCTTTCAAGTACAAAACCCTGGAAATATGTATTAAGTGGCTTAGAAATGGCAAAAAGAATCTTTTGTTTTTCATCCTATCTAAATAATGTTTTACAGTTAATTTTGTTTAATACTCATGCCAGCCTTTTTCCCACTGCCCCTTGTTAAGCAGAGGCTACGATCTGTCTTTGTCTTGGCTTTGAATGGAATGCCAGGGACACTTTGGGAAAGCAATTCTTCTGAGGACCTGTGACCTGAGCAAGCTGGCTGCTCTCGCTTGGTCCTGGTTCCTCTTTGGCTGGGCCGGGGTCTGTGTCTGTGGGTCCACCCCCACCTGAGGGACAGAGGAGTCAGCGCTGCAGTCCGCAGGTGTCAGGGCGCCTCCTGTGGTCGAGTGGCCCAGGGCTCTGGTCTGCCAGAAGGTGCTGTCACACCGTGGAAGGAGGAAGAAAATGCTCAGCTCCTGCCAGCCTCCTGATACTTCGGGGTTTTTGTTCTTTGTTTGTTTGCTATGTTGTTATTAGTGATTCTCTTTAAACATAGAAATATAAATTACAACTAGCTAAAAAGGAGAGTTTTTACTCTTTAATTCAAACAGAGCTGTGGGAAAACTTTGCTATAATCTAGAACTATTTACTGCCTCTTGTTAGATTTCTCAGAGTTAGTGAGTCACAGAGCAGGTGCCTCTGTCCTTTGGGGAACTGCAGTGACTCCCCACGCTAGGAGTTCCCAGCAGGGATGTGGCAGTAAAGGGACCCGAGTGCTGCCGGCCCGCCTCTGAGGATGGGCTGGACCTGGCTTGGGCAGCAGCTCTCTTACCTGTTCTCATCATCACAGGTACCGGTACGGCCAGTTCATTGAAATAAACAGCCACAGCCTCTTTTCCAAGTGGTTTTCAGAAGTAAGTATCAAATGTTCTTATGTCTGGACTGTCAAACAGGCAGTTGGAAAAGCAGTCTCCTGTATATGAGATGAATGCTCTGAACACGAAAGGTCATGGGAGAAGTGGGTGAACCGAGAAGGTGACGGACTGACTGCTCACAGAGGAGCTGCAGAGCTCCGAGGGACTTGGAGGGAGGCCGGGCCTGGGAGACCCTGTTGGTCACACCGTAGACCTCCCCAGCAGATAGGAGAGGACGTGGAGCCGACACAGAGCAGGCAGTAGGTCTTTCGTGTTTGCTCATGTGGGCTGGGAAGCACAGTCCCAAGAGAATGACGTGGCTGGGTGCCCCTCTGAAGGCCCCTTGCATGAGTCTGTCCCCATGGTGGGTGTTCAAGCCTAGCATGGTGTCGGACAGGGAGTGCTGAAGGGGTCACACAGCAGGGGGAGCATCTGGGCTGACCTTGCAGGCCATCCTGGCTTCTCTGATCCAGGGGCTTTTCTGAGGAGCTCGTGAGGCCTGGGGGCAGCGGGGGTACAAACAACAGCAGTGCCCGCTGCATCTCGCATGGGGACTGCAAGTCAGCACTGAGGAGTGTTTTGTTGCAGAGTGGCAAGCTGGTAACTAGGATGTTCCAGAAGATCCAAGACTTGATTGATGACAAGGAAGCTCTGGTGTTCGTGCTGATTGATGAGGTGGGCCCCGTCAGTGGTTGCCTCTTGCTATTGCTTCCCCTCACTCAGTCCTGCTGCCATCTGTTCTCTGTGCCGCAGGGCCCCTGCCCCAACACCTCAGGCCCTGTGCTCCCACTGGCAGTGCCCACTTAGTCCTCCAGCTGCTTGCGAGGGTCCAGGCACTGACCCCATTGACCTGTCGCTCTGCCCACAGGTGGAAAGTCTCACAGCTGCTCGCAATGCTTGCCAGGCAGGTGCGGAGCCATCGGATGCCATCCGTGTGGTCAATGCTGTCTTGACCCAAATTGACCAGATTAAAAGGTAAGGCTCAAATGGGCAGTGCCAAGATGCACTTGACACTGAGTATTGACTGTCTTTCTCCATGCTGGATGCAGCGTAGGTAGTAAATTATTTTTTTGAAAAGAATCTTCAATTCGTTAAGTTTTACAGATGTAAAACAGAAGATGGGCATGGTGCACTTTCCACAGTGCAGGAATGCGCAAGATAAAGAATAGACCACGGTTGCACTGGGCATTAGTGTCAACACCGCCAGCATTGGTCGGGTTGAGGTTGCTGCATACTTGCCCACCTGGGCCAGGGCAGAGAGCGCTGTGTGGTCTGCACCGTCCTGCCCTGTGCTAGAGATGAGCAGGCTTCGTGGGTGACTGCTGACAGCCCACCCCAGGGACACACAGCTCAGACAAGAATCCCAGCAGCTTCTGTGCAGCCTCCAGCACCTGATAATCTGCACTCTCAAGCTGCTCCTCTAAAGCCTCCTTCTCCCTCCAGGGGCCTGGGTGCCACTCTCAAGCCAGGCTCTGCAGTGGGGTGGCGCTGGACTGGCCTGCGGAGGGGTATTTTCTGCAGGCCATTGCTGTGTGCAGTAGAGAATGTCTGCAGTGTCCTGGAGAGGAGCTGGGGGGGATCTGCAGGGGGGGCTTGGCCTGGTCCTGCCCAGCTCCTGCTTCCTCCTTGCCCCTCTCCAGGTGTGGACCCCTCATTATCTGGACGTCCTCCTGGCCCCGCACTGTCCTGCCTCACTGCTTCTGCCCTCCATAGCCACTGTGTGCATGGCTGTGTTCTCCTCTGGCGACTCCTCCAGCCCCGCTCTCCTGGCCTCAGCTCCTGCTGCCTCGCTCCCCCATCAGGCCAGGAGTTCACCCACATCCTGTCTGCAGCCTCTCTCCACCTACATGTCTCTTCTGTGTCACCTACTCCTCTACTGTGGCTCACGGCTCTGAGTGGGCAAGTCCCTGCCATAGACCAGTCATCACACCAGACACTCCTGGGCCACTCATTTCACCCCAAAACCGCACCTATCTGGGGTCCCCCCATGTTCCCATCACACTGATGGCCTTGCCACATACTTGCTCAAGCTGGAAGAGAGTCACCATCTTCCTTGTCCCCTCGGGGATGAGGGATGTGGGCTCGGGAAGGAGCGGGGGGCACACCTGCCCTGGGCCCTACTTAGTCTGTTCCCTCCATAGCCTTGGGGCCTGTCTAGGTGACTGTCCCACCCCTGCTGGCCCTGTCCACTCCTGCCTCCATGTGACCTGACTGTGCTGCCCTCCTGGCTCTCCAGACCCAGCTCCTGACCAATGCACCCTGTCTTCTCTGCCCCAGGCACCTGACTGGAAGTTAGCAGCGGGAGGGGCTCAACCCTAGAAGGTCTCCATCCTTGGCTCGGCTCTGCTCACCCGCAGAGGGGCTATCTTTCCCCTGGGGCTCCCCCTTCACAGCTTCCCATGCCACTTCGGGCCCAGGAGGACAGCGTAGTTATACCCTCTGTAGCAGGCCACCCAGGGCCTGTGGAGCACCTGTGCCCAGTCTGCTGGCTCATGCCAGGCCTTGGGGGATGTTGGTAAGCAGAGCAGATGATGGAGGCTGGCTGTGGAGTTTAGAAGCTGGAGGGCAGAAGTCAGTGGTGATGAGACTTGTAGCCTGCTCAGGCCGGGGTAATGGTGGGTGCCAGGGTTACAGTAGGTGGGGCCCAGGATTGAAGGAGGTGAGGAAGTGAGGCAGGTGAGGTCAAGGTGAGCTCTCCAAAAGGCAAAGGAGTGACCACAGCAGGCGCCCTGGGAGAGTGGCAGCCAGGAGTGCCCGTGGGCGTGGGCTGGGGTCAGGTGGGGTCGTGGCAAGGCTTTGCAGGCTGCACAGGAAGTGGCTCTGAGAAGAGCCACCTGCGTGAGGCTGCTGAGCCACCTCCCCATGCCTCCCACAGGCCGTGCGTCCCCTGTCCTTTTCATCCAGCAGGGAGCACTCGTTAGTCCCCCAGGCTTATGGTGCCTGTGTCCTTGCCTCGACCACACAGGCATGCCAACGTGGTGATTCTGACCACCTCTAACATCACGGAAAAGATCGACGTGGCCTTCGTGGACAGAGCTGACATCAAGCAGTACATTGGGCCGCCCTCGGCAGCAGCCATCTTCAGAATCTATCTCTCGTGTGTGGAGGAGCTGATGAAGGTACCTAGTTGCTGTCCCGATCGCTGGCTTTCTGATTTGTTCTTAATGGGCACAGCGTACAGCAAACCAGTTCCGTTGGTATTAACCATCCTCAGTTGAAAGCCATAGTTCCTTGTATGTGGCATAATCTAAATTGTGGCTGCTCGGTATCTGTTGCTCTGGCACAGCGTGATCGCCAGCTTTCATCGGCAAAGGTACCCGATGAGTAGCTTAGTGAGTGGGCTGTGGTCAGCCTGCTGGGTGCACCCTGGTTCTTTTAGACCTGTGCCCCTGTCATAGTTCACCTTATCTAGAAAGAGGCTGAGCCCACAAGACCATATATGATGTGATGAAAAATTCTGTGTTTAAGTTTTTTGGGTTTTTTTTGGTACTGGGGATCAAACTCAGGTCCTTGGACTTGTGAGGCAGGTGGTGGAACCACTGAGCTAAATCCCCGCCCAAGTGTTTAAATTTTTAAAAAATTATTACAACTAAAGACATATTGCTATGAATCCTCAAAATATTCCCCCTCACTTCAAACACATTCATCCCATCATTCTTGCCACTTTCTGAAGCAGGTCTGAAAGTCCTCTTTGGTGTCTTTAGTTGCACTACTGTGATTGCCTTGGTGTCTTGAATCCATTCAAACATCTATCTTTGTTGGTCATTTTGACTTGGGAAAGAGTCCAAAGTCACACTGTGCTAGATCTGGTGAATGAGGTGGATGAGGACACACTGTCATGTTTTTATCTGTCACTTGGCAGCAGTTTTTGCTGTATTTCTCATAAAGACTCACAAAAGAGGACTATCAGAGTTGCTTCAGAAAATGCCAGGAACAATGGGATAAGTGTGTTCAAAGCAAGAGGGAGGATTTTGCAGGGGATTAATGGCAATGTGTCTTTTACTATAATAAACTTTTCTGAACTTAATACAAATCTACAGGCTTGAACCACTGGTGTTATATGCATAACTGTCCCGTGCTGCCCAGCAGCGGACACACAGATTATGGCTTTGTCATGAATGTGTTAAATATTCTAAATGTATTTTGATCATGCTTCATTCATAGGACTGTCTCCTGAGGGTCATAGTTCACAGGCTGTCATCTGACTGAAGGTCATAGTTTGCAGGGCTGCTTCTGAGGTCATATAGTTCACAGGCTGTCTTCCGACTGTAGGTTGTAGTTCTTAGGGCTGCTGTCCGACTATAGTCATAGTTTACTGGCTGTTGTCTGACTGAAGGTTGTAGTTCACAGCCAGTGGTCTAACACAAGATCATAGTTCAAAGGGCTTCTCTCTGGCTGAGGTCATGGTTCATAGGCTGTCGTCTGACCGAAGTTCATAGTTCATGGAACTGCTGTCTTCCTAGGTTGTAGTCCTCAAGCATTCCTCTGACATCCTGTGCTGCAGGAGCCTGCTTTGAGCTCTGCACTTAGGGAGCCTGAGCAGTGAGCAGGACAGAGGAATGAGGACTGGAACAGCAGTTGTCATGGTGAAGTCGTTGCCGCAGGCCAGCAGGGCGGACCTGACACTGAAGAGCAGGCCTCACTGTCCTCTGCAAGGGTGGCGTGACCTCCAGAGGATGCAGACAGGAGCTGCCTCGCTGCGGACCTGCTGAGGGCGCCAGCCAGCACTGTCCTGTGCGGTGTCTGTCTTGGCTCCATGGGTGTGGACTGGAGGTGCACGGGACCCAGGGTGATGTGCTGGACAAGGCTTTGTTGCCTGGAGCCTGGCATCCCGCTTTCAGTGCAGCCTCTGCCTCCTAATGCAGCCCTTACGTGAGTGCTGTGGCCTGGGGGCTGTTGTCCAGTTAGCTCCGAGGTGCAGGTGTCTCAGGGACACCGGCTGAGAGTGTAGGCCAGTTTCATAGCTCCGTGGTTTACAGACATCAGACATTCAGGCGTGTTAGCTGACCTGCGGCTGGTCCTGGTGGCCCGGGAGTGACTGGGGCCCTTGGTCTGTGTGGATCTTGCAGTCCATGCTGTGTCAGGTGGGCTGCTGGACTCCCAAGTGTCACTGGAGGGCACAGCAGATGGCCCCCCGAGGCCATGGAGAACCCAGAGTGCCACTGAGAGCCCCCGACACAAACCTGCTTCTTACCCACCAAACCCCTCGACAGGCCTCCCAGTCCTGGTTCCAACCCGAGACATTTCACATGGAGCTCAGTCCCGGTGATGCCCAGGGTGCCGTCCTGCCAGTTCAGCACAGCTGCTTGGCACAGGCGTCTGACTCCAGGCAGCCGCTCTGTAATGGGAGGTGCCGGGACCCGGTTCTCCATCTGTCATTCTGCTGACCCAGTCCCGTCTTAACAAACTCAGGATGCTTCTTGGGAAGGCAGTCAGGGTCCTGGGCCCAAGTCAGCCTGGCACCCCTGTGGATTTTGATGTGCCTCGAGCTGAGGTAACAGACCAGGCTTGATGGCTTCGGGTCATCCCAGCCATGATGTGTGGTGAGCAGATGACCTGGCTAGAAATCTGAGAGGCTGGGTCGCCGCTGGTGCCGGGTGTGCTTCACGTCCACATTCTTGTCTCTATTGGGAGGAGAGTGTGACACTGAGCTGACCTCCTCGTGGCTGGCACTTGAGTAACTGCTGTCCACACTTCTGTAAGGCGTGCGTGACTCGTGCCTGACCTGAGTGCCACCCGAATGGACTCTGCTCACTCCCGGCCTCTGTCCCCAGTGCCAGATCATATACCCTCGGCAGCAGCTGCTGACACTGCGCGAGCTAGAGATGATTGGCTTCATTGAGAACAACGTGTCCAGGCTCAGCCTCCTCCTGAATGAAATCTCAAGGTGCGAATAAGTTGCCCTCTTGTTGTCACCAAGAACCTGTTTGCTCAAGTTCCTGGGGAGGCGGGGTTCCCTCGGCAGCCAGGGGTCCCTGGAGGTGAGCTCTGAAGGCAGCGAAGTGGAGCTCCCAGGACAGTGAGAATGTGGCCCCAGGTTTGTGGGAGCTGGGAGGCTGCAGGGACCGTCCACGGCAGGCTGGGTGCCGAGGCGGAGCAGAGCAGCTTGGGTTTCTGGCCAGAGCTTGGACTTCAGTCTGGAGCCCTGAAGAAGGTCTTGGCAGAAGGAGAGCATGAAGAATGTGGTGCTGCTGAAGGCTGGGTTCCTGCTGAGAGACTCCAGTTGGTTAAGATAGAACAGTCTGCAGGGTTGTGGGGACCGGCATTCTCCTTCAGGGACTGGCCTGGTGGCGGCAGCCCATGGAGTCATACCTACACCCCTACTGCTGGGGCAGCGTGAGGCCCCCTGGCCAGCCCTGCCTGGGATGGGATGGGGGTTCGGGGGGCAGTGCCCTGTGGGGCCAGGAATGCCTCAGGGTCCCCTCGGCCAACTTGTGGGCTCAGGGTTCACAGTAAGAGCACGGTGGTCCCGAGACGCATGGGTTTTCACACGAACGACAGCTCTGCATGTGGTTGTTTCCACTCTTGCAGGAAGAGCGAGGGCCTCAGCGGCCGGGTCCTGAGGAAGCTCCCATTTCTGGCTCACGCACTGTTCATCCAGGTGAGTCCTATGCTGCGTCCACAGCCTCAGCCTGCCTGTTTCTAAGATGACAGGATCCTGGGTGGCATGCGGTCCTGAGTCCTCAGGAGGAGGAGAAAGGGTCTGTGCCTGAGTCTGGGCTCTGTCACGGAGCAGTGACCTGGAGTCACCCTCGCAGGCCTGGCACCCGGCCCTCAGCCAGGAGGCACTGCCCCCTTTCCCCTCCGGAGCATCTGGTTGCTGGAGGCTCTGGTCTGGCAGAACAGATATGCTGGTGTCTGAGACAAGCAAGTGCATCTTGGACCAGTTCTTTGTAATGGAATTGCCCGGTGCCTCTGCGAGTCAGTGGAAGCCTTGCGGCGGGTGTGGTGCGGGTGCTCAGGTGATGTGGGAAGGCCCTGGAGCAGGCCCCAGGGTGACAGACCTAGAGCCCCAAATCCGTTCCCAGCAGCTTCTGTTCCATGCTGAGTTGGCAGCTGACCCTGGTGCTCCCCTGCCTGCTCTGGCACCCATTTCTAACCTGCAGGAAATGGTGTCACGACTATGTGCCCCGAGAGGGCCTGAGCTGGCTCCCAGACTTGTTCAGCCGTGTCCTGGGCTGTCAGCCCTGAGGACATTGCCACTCTTTAACTGGGAATCGGGCAGCCCAGCACCTGAGACCTGTCTGCACTCCGTTCTCTGGGTGGGATGGTTGCTGCTAGGTGGCTCCACATGGCCACCCAGTGGTGACCATGTGACCTTCCAGGCCTCCACTGTCACCATCGAGGACTTCCTGCAGGCCCTGTCCCTGGCAGTGGACAAGCAGTTCGAGGAGAGGAAGAAGCTGTCGGTTTATGCCTGATCCTGGCCCCACATCTGCAGTTTCTGTGGCAGACTTGCAGGTGGTACCCCTGGCCCCCAGCTCCGTGCGCAGAAGCCCTCGGCAGAACCGCTCAGATCTGCAAGCCATGGGCAAAGCGGGAGCTTCCAAGAGAGGACTGTGCTTATGTTATCTGGAGTGCATCCTGGAAGCCAAGCAGCTGAGCATTCTCAGTGTTTTTAAAAGAGAGTTCAAATTCTGTTGGTTTCTCTGTAAAGGACCCAGTCACACACGCAGTTTGTTTGAAATAAGGGGAAATCCGTGTGGTTGTTACAGAGACACAGAGAAACTCAATCGCCCTGAGTAAGCTTGTGATCGCAGCTTCAAAACATGGACTCGCCTCACCTGGAAGGCAGCCCGTGAGGTCAGCAGCTGGGCTCAGGCGCTGCTGTGCGGCTCTACCTGAGGCTTTGTTGTCAAGGCATCATTCGTGTCCCCAGTGCGGATGCAAATGGGTTAATGATGGGTGCATTTCACAGAATGCTATGTTTTGTTTTTTAAAGGATGTAGCCTGTGGTCATAGTAAGTAATTAAATTCATTTTCAGAATTTTCTTTGATTCCAGTCTCTCAAATGTGTGGATTTTCCTAAAAGTCACCCAGGCCCCCTCAGCATGAGTACTGCCTGTGCCCTGAGGACCCCGTGGCTACGTTCCCCGCAGGAGCCACACCCAGCCTAGGGGACCTGTACTCCTGTTAGGGGCAGGCTCAGCAGCTGGGCAGGAGCCCGTGCACCCATGTGCTGCACCTGGCCTGATCCCTGGCCTGGTGCTGCCCCGGCCCTGGAAATAGCCTGGCCCTGCTGCTCATGGGAAGCCAGCCGTTGGGGCCGCTCGGCTGGGCAGAGTGGGCCTGGCCCCTACCCACAGGGTGGTGAATGGGCCGCGTTCCCCAGCAGGCACAGCCTGGTGTCTACCTTCAGGAGCTGCTCTCCACCCACAGGGCCAGCCTTGGTCCCCAAGCTCTTGAGAAAGAACGTTTTAGATAGCTGGGGAGAGAGGCCTAGAGGGACCTAGAAGACAGGTAAATGTCCTCTGACAGCAAAGACCAATGGGTCCAGAGCTGGGGAGAGCAGTGCTTTTACCCAGGGAGGTGGCCATTCTGCTCACTGCCCCAGGCACCTCAGTCAGCCTCCTGCTGGCCATGGGTGGTGGCCAGCAGCTGCAGACCTTCCTGTTCCTCTCAGGTAGACCAGCCTGTGAGCAGGGAGCACTAAAGCCTTGCATGTAGACCAGCAACAGAGGCTTGGACGGGACTTCCCTGCTTGACTGGACCAAGGGCCAGCAAATGACACCGTCACTCAGCCAGCCCGTAAGACAGCACCTGTGACTCCAGATCACAGCCTGCTTCCTGGAGAAAGTTCCTGGATATGGCCGTGTGCAGCCTGTGCCTGCCAGTGCTCCGGGCCAAGTGGGGCCAGTGGGGCTGGCAGGTGTGGCAGGAGTGTGGGCGGGCGGCAGCTGGAGGGCTGGGCAGGTCCACTTGGACACCCCCCCCCCCCCCGGGCTGCCGGCTGCCCTCAGAGTGCGCCGCAGGCAGATAGCGGCTCCCTGGGTCCCGGCCTCCCCCGTGGGTGCCTCTCTCGGCCCTCACCTCAGACTGCAGGCTCACCCCACTGCCCCTTGTGCAGCCGCAGAGACCTCCTCTCCCCAGGGCACACGTGGGGCCACCGGGCTGCAAACCCCACAGTGTGGCCTTAGCTGGGGAGGCCTGAGGACCAGGCAGAGCGTCCTCCTGGACAGCGGCTGGGGCCCCTCTCTGCAGGTGTTTGGTGAAAGCGTGGGCGCTGGCCTCTGGCCCTAACTCCCTGGCGTCCCTGGGGCTCCTCCCTCTCGGTCCCCTCTTCTCCGGCTGCCCTCCATGCCCTCGCTGTCTGCTCCTGGGGTGAAGTGTGGGTCCCAGCAAAGCCGTGGCCTCTGCTCCCCACGCTGCCTGCCGGCCTTGGCCCCAGCCACCCCATCCGAGTGTGGACACCCTGGCTTGGTCCAGCCCCGGAGCCAGCAGCCCCTGCCTCCCCTGTCCCAGGTGGATGTGGGGGCCCTGTCCGGTCTGGAGGCCGTGCAGGAGCCTCTGCTTCCGCTGCCGTGTCCCGCTCCCCGAGCTGGCTCTGCCTCTGCTGCCCTGGTGGACACAGCAGAAAACCCGCAGGACACAGCTCGCTCCCACATGAGGCTGCTGTGCGGACGCTATGTTTGGTCCACATGCTGTGGGGGGTGGCTCCTGGCCCAGACCACTCTGGGCTCCTGTTTGTGGGGATCCCAGTTCACCCAGGCCTCAAGGTTCCCCTACAGAAGCCAATGAAGGGAACAATGAGCAGCAGTGAGGAGAGTGACTGGAAGGAGACGTGAGCAGAGGTGAAGGGCTGCTCTGCCGATCACCCTCGTGGCATGGCGTCACTGTAGGAAGGAGCCCGGTGAGGCTGGGAGCCCAGCCGGGGTGGCTGTCACCAAGGTCACCTCCTGCAGGCTCCAGACCTCTGCTCCCGCCCGCCACTGTCTGCCTCAGTGCCAGGCTCACCGGTAGATGGCAGGCATGCATGTGTTGGGGTGCAGGTAGCGTGGAGTGGACGTGGGTGCTCCCAGAAGGCCCTGCAGCTCAGGGGCCTCACAGACAGCACTGGCCAAGCAGAGAGCAGAGGCCAGAAGAGAGAAGCTGGTGCCCTGGGAAAAGCCCGAGGGTACTGCTCAGGGTCAGGAAGAGCCCAAAGCAGCCAGCACCTGGGGTACCCACAGGCCAGGAGCCCCACGCAGACTACCAGACAGCAAGTTGGGCAACATGCTGCCCCAGAGCCAGATGTGGTGGTGCACGCTCGTGACCCCAGCTACTCAGGAGGCTGAGGCAGGAAGATCAGAAGTTTGAGGCCAGCCTGAGCGAGTTAGCAATACCGTGACCCAAATAAAAAATTTAAAAGGGCTGAGATAAATAAAGCTCAGTAGTACAGATTTGCCTAGACATGCAGAGCCCTGGCTTTGAGCCCCGCATCACAGAAGGATATCAAAAGGAAGGAAATGTTGCCTGTAGAATGGCTCAGGCCGGCAAAGGACATAGTCAGCAGCCCACGCAGAATTGGCACCACAGTTTCTCAGCCCGGGTAGTGGGTACCACACACAATCAACCACACACCCCACAGCAGGAGAGGCCACCCTCCCCAGCCTCAGGTTCCCTGTGTGGGAGAGGAGAGCAGGCAGCTCCCAGCCCAGGATACCTGACAGGGTCCTGAAGCTTGGAACCCCTGGCCTCCTGGAGCAGCCCTGAAAGGTGAGGAATAACAAAAATTACGTCCTTAATAGATACTTTAAAAAAAACACATAAAACCAAAAGGATCATTTTGTAATCCCCCCAGTGCTGGGGATTGAACCCAAGGCCCTTGACATGAGCTGCATCCCTCGGCCTTTTTTATTTCTTACTTTGAGACAGGGTCTCACTAAGTTGCCCAGGTTGGACTTGAACTTAAGATCCTCCTGCCTTAGCCTCCCCATGCTGGGATGACAGGCATGCACCATGCCAAAGCAGACAGGTGGGTTTCCATCAGCAGTGCTCTGGGGACAGGAAGGGTTTGGCTCTGTCCCGGGGTCCGGTGGGGCCCCCATTCCATCCCAGATAACCCATGTGGAAGAAGAGAGGGGAGGGAAGCCTCCCCGTGGAGCCAGGGCCAGCCCCCCAAGGATGGGGTGGGAAGGGAAGGTCTGCTGCAGGTGTGGGGTGAGGGCGCCGAGACCCCAGGTCTGTCTGCCTCTGTCGTGACCCCTCCACGGCCCCTGGCACCAATGTGTCAGTGACCCTCAGGTGTCCAGGAGAGGGACAGCATGGCCGGACAACATGGCCAGGCAGCAGAGTGGGACAGGTGGGGTCAGGACTCAGCCCAGCCACCAGGGGGCCCAGCAAGGTCAGCAGCGTCCAGCGTGGGGCTGAGAGGACCCAGCTACCTGCTGAGGGAAATACGGGAGCTGGGGAGCTGGGAAGGCCCCAAATCTAGGTGTGTGGGGACACGGGGACCCATTGCCTCAGTAGTGGGCCCCCCAGGATGCTATCCCAGGTGTTAATGTCACTGGGCCCAGTGTCCCCAACACCCACCTCTGCCCTGGTGGAGAGTGGGGCCAGCTGAGGGCTTTACAAGGACAGCAGCAAGTCTGCTGTGAGACTGTGCGCACACGTGCACACACGGGCATGCACAGGGAGAGTCACCCAGGGACACACACGTGCACACACGGGCGTGCACAGGGACAGTCACCCAGGGACACACACGTGCACACACGGGC